TAGATAAAATACGAAATCTTATTTTGCTTATTTAACAGGTTAGGGCATATATAATGCATGTTTTCATGATTTTCTCGAATTAATGTGTTTTTCTTAATATTTATATTTTTCTGTCATTTGGTATAAATTGATCTAATTTTTTTTGTTTATATTACCTATGTCTTTTATAGTTTCGATGATGAAAATATTATATTTTTAGTATTTTTCTTATGGTTCTATAAAGATATTTATTTTTTTTTCCTGTAGACAACTTTTTTATCAGCAATTTTACTCCGACTTATAGCGATAGCAATATTTCTAAAAGGAAACTTCACTAGGGAGGCACTATAGAGAGGTCGTTTTTCGATTTTTTCAGGAGTTTCCTCAACAAATGTGAAAAACTGGAAAAAAACAAAGGAAAAACGGGATCCATTTTAATTTTAGAATTGGAATGATTGGAATTTTACCATAATATGACATTTATATTGTTGAAAAGCAGCACTATTAACTGAATTCCGATCAGGATTGTTTTTCGTTAGCAACGGTTTATGGTTGCTTACAGGTGTATATTAATTACTTATAACAGTCGCCGTAACCAACCTCATTATCCTTGGAGGTTGAGGGTTCTACCTGTCGTTTGATATCCTCGGCATTCCGAAAAAGATACGCCTGATTGCAATGCGAGTTTGACATGTAAAACATATTGGTAAAGGATCTTTGCTTATTAGAAATCAATAATTGAGCAATAAGTAGAAAGCATTTTTATTAAGAGTTTATCTGGATTCAATAGATACGATTTTCAATATTATCATTAAATATTTTAATTTATTAATTTAATTTTAACTGTAGTAAATCATGTAGAACACAGGCCCGTCATTTCAATATTGGAAGTACAATACTTGCATCTTTCCACTACACTTCAACTAGTGTACATCAAAGCATTTGCGTTTACAAAAAGTGTTGGTATTGATGTGTACACTACTCACACCATTGCAGACACATTTTTGTATAAGTTTCGGATCTACATAATATTTGTAATTAGTAAGCTATATGTTGAACACTATAACTTTTTAAAACGAACCTACCTAATAATTATTCTCACACTCTCGGTCCAAATTGTCCAAACTATGTTAGTTAGAAAATCTTTACATTGTCGTACTATGTCTATAAACAAACTTTAAAATACTTAATTGGATAATATAAGTTTGGTGAATAAGAGTTTCTATTTAAAAATTAATGATCAAGCGGTAGAAATATTATGATTCCGGAATACAATAATGTAATAAGTATTTTTGTTTCTGTATAAAACATTATATAATAATATGTATATTGTACATCTGAATCCCGGGATTTAAAATATTCATACACCAAACGATATATAAAAGGCGAACTGATGGGTATGGAAAAAGTCAAAAATGTTCAAAGGTACGTAGAAGTTTTCTTTTCTCTACCGGAGGCGACGTCGTTTTATTATTTTTTTTTTTTAACGTTTCTTAAATAAAAGATTTAAAAATGACGACATAAAACTTTCCAACGTCGTCCCCAACCCATTTAGAACGTAATCTAGTTAAGTGCATAATATAGATTTAGCTATACGATATACTATACGATGTGCTATACGATTTTACAGGCCCGCCGTATACAGAAAACCTGAATCTTTAACACAGATCCGTATAGTAAAAATACAGACATACTGTGCACGACGGGTGGACCACTGTTGTAGGTAAAAAGTTAGAATGGTGGGATATAGAGGGGAGTTTAATTTATATCTTTATGCAATAATAAACCATTGCTAATAAAAACGATTTAAAGCGAAATTCGATTATACATGGTTTGAAGGCCGTAATATTTGCGATTTTTGTTGCTGTTCAAATTTTTATAAAAAACAAATACTACAAATATTAAACTCAAATTTCATCATCAAGATAACCCATGAAAAACAAAAATAAATTAATAAATAATTAGATATTGGTACTAAAAATACCTTAAACCCCTCTTTTACTTCTTTAAGAGTTGAATTTTCGGAAAGAAAGAAGAATAAGAATTTTATTGGCAGATACCTACATCATATTAGCTATCTGTATATCAAATTTAAGCCTGATCTGTCCAGTAGTTTGGGCTTGGTAATAATTAATCAGTTAGTCAATCAGCGAGTCAGTCAGTTAGTGAGGACATAATATTTTGGTACGTTGGTACATAAGTATATTAATCATTTTATGTTGTTGTACTTGCTTAGAGACAAATATTGTTAAGTTATGGTATTTAACATAATAATATACGAACAACTTAACAGGTAGTTATTAATAATTGCATAATTTTGGATAATTTTGAGTTATATTCGCAAAATGTTATACTAAAAAACAAAAAAAAAAATTTACGAACACTGCACGTATCACCAGATGTTAGACACTTTCAATCTTCTTGTGTTCAATCTTAAATAAATGGCTTACCTTGTGGGGGAAAAAACGAATGTAAAAAATTGGGTTGGTTTGGAAACAAATGTATATTTTGTCATGGTAAATCTATTAAATTAACCAAAACAATTCTTGCTACACTTCAAATCTAAAAACTTGTATATTTCTAAATATTTTACCAAAATTACATTTTTTTTGATATGAAAAAAAAATGTATGCATTATATATCCGTCGTTCTGCAGGTTTGACAAAAACAATTTATTCAAATTTATATACGTAAAGTTTCGTTCGCGTGAACTTTCGAATTTCTCTGGGACGACCATTATAGCCAAATTCACATCTGAAATTGATTTATTTATTCTCAATCGAACAAAATATTTTATTGAAATCGATTTCTTTTTCACCAGAGTTCACTTTGTTCATTAACATATTTTTTAGATCGATAGCGTCTTTAAAGTAAGAGCATGTCGATACCACAGCGGAAATGGAAATATCAATAAAATTCAGTTTTTGTAATTTTTCAGGGTGACAGTTTTAACATTATAAATCAAAATTCTAATTCTGTTTTTGAAATTTGTTTTATTATGTTTTTACCATTATCGTTATTTTAGAACATCTTGAAATATTCTTTTAGATTCTGAGTGAAGCGAGGAATAAATTTGTTTTACAATGATGTTTATTTTTTTTATGTAAATTTTTTTTTTCTAGAAAGCATACTCCGATTATCAAGTATATTACCTTTTTTGAAAAGAAATATTCTCTGGGTGGTACTTTAAACAGGTTATTTTTTGAAATTCTCATTAAGATTCGAGATAATGAGGAAAACCTCGGTTTTTAGGTTAAAAAAGATTGAAAGATTAAAAATAAGGTTGTCATTGGCAACTGTTTTTATTTATTTTTGTTATTATTAAGTTTTTATAATTTTAATATTTTTAAATAATTATTGTTGTTATGGAAATGTACTTTGTTGTAATCATTTTATCATAGTATACTTGTAATATATACCATATATTGTATTATTGACAAAACAAAACTATTAACTGAACTCCGATCAGAATCGTTTTTTCTTTAGCAATGGTTTATCGTTGCTAACAGATATACATTAAATTTTCATTTCAATCTTAACTTCTCAACTCCCTACTTACAACAGTGGCCACGTGCGAGGTATGGCCGTCCTTTTTTTTAAATTTTTTTGTGTGCCTATATTTTATGTTTATTATCAGTCAGAACTAAGAATGAACTTACTTTATTTTACGAACTTGTGACAAAACAACTGATAAACTATCAATTTTAAAACCCCTCCCATTGAAAAATCCTGCGTATGCCACTGTTTTATCACGTGGTGACATTATTTTAAAACTGCCAAAAAATGAGTTTCGATCATTTTCGTTGCGGGTATCGATATTACAATATCAAAAATTCGTACTTTGTTTACATATATATATTCTGTTTATTACTATTGAGAACCGTAAAAGACATGTTATGATTAAATTATAATCAGGGCTCGTAATTGCATATACTAAAAAAACGTAAGCACGCACTTCTGCGCTAAAAAGTTCGAAAGTACGTAATGCACAAACTGGTAGCGAGAACATTGTTTCCGTGGTCTTCTCTAAAACTCATAAAACCCATAAAGTCGTACCTACAATAATACAAATAAACCGAAACAAATACTAAGGTTTCGAAAACATATTTGGTAAAATAATTTATAAGAAATAATAATTTCCTGAATTTATACAAAATATGCGCTAATAACTTCCCCAATAATAATAAAAAACATGTAAATCCATAAACGTACGAGCCCTGATTATAATATACTTAAGCCGGGATTACACGACGCGAATTTGATGCGCGAGGTCACCTCTCAAAACAACTGATTTGTCAAACTGTTTACACGGTCGCGCATCCGTTACGGGATTTCCGGCAAATCGAAATAAGCCATTAGTAGCTGCGAGGACGACACTATAGTTAACATGCCACAGATCAAAAAGTGCTGACTAACTTTTGATGTGCCTCCGGAGACCGACAGCGGTTTCGCTCGCGGTAAGGACACTTCACGCCAGGTCGAACAATATTTTCTACGAATCCGGCATTTGGCGTCACAATATCTGGTAGGCAATAAAAAGGAAACCAATTCTACGCTAATACAAAACAAATCGATATTGCTGTCGACCAACTAATATTAGTTGGCAAGACAAAATTTACTACTCACGTAAGACGATACCACGCGACGAGTTTAATACTGTTAAATTATTTCTCGTATAATAATCATATTTCCAAAGTTTGATAAAGTGATTACTCGTCACAGCGGTGTGCACCACACTGTGTTGTTATATTATTATAAAGTTTACATCTTCGTGCAATACAGCGTCCCTTTGTAAATTATGCAAGTAAACAGATCTTAATATAATATTATTATAATTGATAAAAAACAGTCGCTTTCCATTTTCATATAGCAAATCGATAATGTAATCTAAACGTATGTTTATTAGTAGATACACTGTAATATGAATCGTTCGATTTTAGAAAGAGCAAATGTTCAATTTTTAAAAATGTTGAAAAAGAAGACAAAAAATCTCTTTAATCACCTAAATTTATTCAATATCTCATGAAACTACTGTAGACACTTATAGATGATAATATTATGATATAATATTTTTTTTTTCACTTTTTCATTATTTTTTACTTTTTTGAAACATTTTAAAATTCGAACACGTGTAAGTACTTACCGTGTCTAGAGATTCATAACATTATATACTCATAGTTAGGCATTTACAAAATTGAACGATTTACGTCATAATTTAGAAAGTATATTCTACAAAACATATTGTCTGACGTGTGTGCCTATACGAGGTTTGGCTATTAAATATCGAGACTGCGCGCGTAAAGAGCGTCCCAAAAAGATTAGAGGAAAACCGAATAAAGCGCTGGTTAGCTGGAAGTGTCTATTATGCCAGTATTACATGCCAGTAATTGGGTTTTTGTTGGTGCATTAGTATTTTTTCTGTAGCGTTTAGAAACGAACATGTTTTTTTCTTTTGCCGAAAACGATGTGTGACGAAAAACATGAGCAACGGATAAACGTAAAATTTTCTCGTTAAACTAAAGAAAACTCCAACTGGGTGCTATAAGTTATTAAAAGAGAACTATAGTGAGGATTTCCTATCTCGGGCGCGTGTTTGTGAGTGGCATAAATTATTTTCTGAAGGTCGAGAGTGCACCGGAATCTAATTCAGTCGTAATCCAAATTCAAAACCATGCAGATCGTTTTCTTCGATATCAACGGCATCGTGATGACTGAATGGGTTCCAGAGGGTCAAACTGTGAACCAACATTACTATTTGACAGTTTTGGCAATATTGCGCGAATGAGTTCATAAGAAACGGTCGATATTGTGGAAAAACAAGTCGTGGATCTTGCACCAGGATAATGCACCTGCCCATAACGTGCTGTCTGTGAAGCGTTATTTGACCGCTTAAGGCACTCCAGTACTCGAACACGCGTCTTACTCACCCAACATGGCACCCTGCGACTTTTACTTGTTTTCGAAGATAAAGTCTGCCTTAAAAGGAATCCGGTTTGAGTCGATGGAAGAGGTGAAAAAAAAATCGGCGGAACTCCTGAATGGTCTCACGAAAACAGACTTCCAGCACTGCCTCGAGCAATGGAAGAAACGAATGAAACNGAGAGTATATTGAAGGGGAACATTTGGTTGTGGAATAATTTTTAAAATAAAACCATTTTTCATAAGCAGTCTCGTTGTTTAATAGCCAGAACTCGTATTGATTTTGATTCATATTTTTTACGTCTATAACAAAAAATATCTATTTTATATTTTTACTCGTAATAAATATGAAAACCATCTGTAAATTTAATTGTTTGTGTACATCGATTCCATCGCGGGTGGCGGAGGGATTGTGTACAGAGACATGGAAGTCAGAGGCGATCCGTGGAATATTTTTAAGTTTTTCACCACCGGTATTGCCGCGGTAATCGACACGGCGATAGCGAAACATATGACCCAAAATCCGTTCTGAAAATAAAAACAGAAAAATAAATCACGGACGCCTTACTCATTTTCATCAAGTTATAAAAAAAAACTTACTAAGGCATCCAAAGTCTGTCTACAAACTAAATCTCTTCCAGTCCGGTACACGTTCCAAACGGGACGACATGACGCTGCTTCGGTTTTTATCGTTTCGGTTACGTGTGACTTGTATTTGTCCAACAGTGACGTAATACCGTTTGTGTATTGAACGACATTCTATAACGAAAAACTCACATACTAAAGAAATACGCAACAATAAACCAGTTTAGATTTTCCCTTGAAAACTATACTAGATGGATTTTAAGAAAATCGTTTGGGTAAACCTGGGTGAAAATATGACAAATCGCTTAATATTTTTTTCAACTGGTATAAAAGGTGGTAACGACATTTCACCGAATTTAAACGCATCAAAACAAGCAAGTAGCTGCAATATTTTAATTATATTTATGTTTGTATATACGACCAAGATGATGGGGTTCTCTTTTAATGCATATACTTAGGTAGTTAAACAAAAAGTTAATCAAAATTGGTATGCGAAGAATAGCCGACGTATACGCGGAGTAAATAGTCACGTATTTCGGTTCACAATGCGATTGTGTGTTTAGAGGATTATATAAGTTTCCTGGCTAAAATTGTATTCGAAGGGAAACTGTACATAAGTAACTTTCGTGTCGGAGTCGCGTGCGTTTATCGATAAAAGTATTTTTGAAAATACGAAATAAATCTATATGCGTATAATAAGTATTATAAGAATAGAACAGTAAAAAAAAAAAAAAATGTGTTTTTAATATTATATACCTTTCTTAGTATTTGATCGAAATCCGAATTTTCGATTCTACCGGTGTACGCGTTCGCCCAAGTACGGTTTAGGGAATCGGACAGCGGATGCATTTCAATTTCCATCAGTGTTAAATGATAAAGCAACGTATTCTGCAACATTTGAATATCGATCAATTTATTATCTGGGAAAATAAGATATTAGTACGTAAATCTGAACATTTTTCCAGAGATATAATCTAATGCAAACAATACCCAATTAACTAGATACTGCACAGCTTAGAACCATGTAATCTACATAACATGGTTTTTCCATTTTGCATTTTATTTTATCTAAGTGTGTCGTGGTTTTTCATCTACTATAAATTTTAGATTTCAATTTAGGACACTAACTTCTTTGGAGCAATAACAAATCTGAACTAGTGTTGAGCACTTAATCCGAAATCTAGTTTGAAAAAGAAGTAACAATTTGTATGGTTCGGATCACTAAGACCAATCCGGATTAATGATTCAATTTATTAAAGAAAATTAAATTAATTAAATTAATTATTGCAGATAAGATTAAAAATAGAATTGGTATACAAATGGCAACACAGGCAATAAGTTCATATAGGTAATAACAAAAACTCTTCCCTGATTCATCCAAATCCAAAAAACATGATTGATATTATATTCATATATTTGTTAAATAATAGGATTACGAATCGAATTCATCTATCTGGATTATACAGATTAATTCGGATCCATTAAATATATTTATATTTTTTTTGAGGGAGGGGTTAAGAAACATCTGCTCAGCCTTATTTTAAATAGGTTGGTTAGGTTTTCGATTTCGATGGCCTTAATCAAATTGTTTGTTTTTCTTTCGTAGTTTTTGAACAAATTCCCAGATTCCATATTCACTCACTTTCTTCTGGCTTATCGGGTTCATCACGTTCTCCAATAATTCCGTTATATTCGTCACCAAACGTTTCAATGCCGATTTTAATGCTGCACCGGAGATTGACGAGGTTTGCGCGGAAAGCACATTAAGTTGATCCTGGAGCAAAGTCACCCGACCATGTTCCAAAGAAGACGCCAAAATCTAAAAAGACGTTATAGAAATATTATAATATAGTACACATTATTAAAATGATTTTTCAAGCAACGTCACCTCGTTTTTATGTACAAATAAATAACAATGGCTTTATTTAAAATCTGTTAATATTATTATTATTTTTTTTTTTATTGTGCGCATAATAAAAATATTTGGTTTATATTTTGCTATACTCGAATTTTTTTTCGAAAAAAAAAACAAAAATTAACCCGATAGTAATAATTTGAGTGAAAAAAATCTAAGCGAGCATAAAATGGAGTGAGCATACTTTAAAATAATCACCCTGTAAATGTTATTGAACGCGTGGGGGGAACAAAAGTGATAAAAGTAAACTCGGGATGATCGAATAACAATGCAATGCTAATATCCTCGGGAATCAATAAACTCGCGTTACATAAAATATATCGCTTTACTTCGCGAGTAGTTTTTATAGCGGTATTTTTTTTTTTCTACGTTTATACGAGTATATTATTCGGTTTATACGTGTATACATATATGAAAATAAATCTTACGAGACTCCGGAACTTTTCAAAGTCCAATTTCGCCTGCGACTCGGCGATCGGTTTCAGTACCTCCGCCGCCGACGGCGGTCTGATGTCCCAGTCGAAATCGACGCTAATTCGTATGGTCCTGAGCCCGTCCAGAGCGGCCGTCATTCCGGGCCATTTGCTGTAATCCGAACTAGACTCCGCGTCGAACACCTTGTGCAGGTTCAGTGTCCCGTACGCCGTATTGTTTGCTTTGCACGACCTGTGCCAAACGGCCACGAAAAAATAATATATTAACCGGCTCGAGTCACAATACGATATATTATTATGCATGCAATACTTAAAAAGACAGTTTAAGTAGAAACGCGAAAGGCCGTAAAGTCGTGTAAAAGGTAAATGCTAAGGGTCTTAAGTCAGCTACGCAACTGTTAAGAATAAACAGTTATTCATTGAATATACACGCATCATAGAAAAAAAATATCATATAAATCATAAATAAAACAACAGTTCTAAAAATATAAAACGAAAAATAATTTTACGACGTTTTTTTTATTTCTCTTGGAGCTATATTTGACTTAAGCAAACGCTACACATGCATCTGGTTGTATTTTTCTTTAAAACGCATCATAGCATATTATTAAATTTACATTTTTCCATAAAAAAGCTGAAGTGATTTTTTGCTTTTAGTTTTCATATTAGAGTGAACTCGATAAACATAAATGTAAGAACATAATGTCTATAATAATCGATGTCTCACCTCTGTGTTTATACGTCGGTTTTTTTTGGATATTTTAATTTTGAAACAATGTATTTACTGTTTTTAAAATTGTGACATTACACACGCTCAAAAATCTCGCTTAAAAATTAAAATGACGAATAAAAATACCTATACAGATAATGTGCCTCTTCTGATAATAGATCAGTATTGTTAAAACTTACAGCCCAAAATTGATTCCGGTGAACGTAAATTAGTCATGTGCTACGGCGTTTGTAAGACTGAGATAATAAATGTTTATTATGTAGCGTGTTCTTCAGCCCATTTTTTTAAAAACCATCTTATATACTTAATCGCCTATATAGGATGATCAACATAAAGTGAATATTCATTATCAGGAAATTATTAACTATTTAAAAACATTTTAGAAATAAACAGCTCTTAAATTTAATATTGTCGTATTTGTTGTCATATTATTTTAGGGGGTATAACCACTACTCGTTTTTGATTTTCAAATGGCAAAATATAGCAAAAATTGCATAAATAGATGGAATATCAGTTTAATAGTTTGAATATGTTGCGGTGTTGACATATTTGATTTTCGTCAACTTATTGAGGACGTATTGCATTTTAAAGTTTGATCAGAGGAAAGTAACGGAACATTATTTGTGTGGTGGCACGGCGCACGTCGTTTGAATTTCGTTCCACACTACTTTTCCCCTACCCAAACTCATATGTTAAATATTTCGTCAATGGGATGAAGTCAATTAAAAATTTCAACGCAAACATTTTTTCAAACTCAAATTTAACTTTTTTTTTTTTGAACTTTTGATACAGGTTGCTATTTGAAGAAAATATGGTGGTTTTTCCATCGAAAATCGGGGTGACAAAAAAATGTGGCATTTTAGAGCCGCTTCTTTCATAAAAAATAAAAAACATTTAAAAAAAACTAAAGCCGGAAAATGTAAATTCAATACTTTCCGAGATGATGCGTGTCTTATAAACGTTATGTTGATCACCCTGTATATTCGGACTGTTCATAATGTTTACAATATCCTTACTTGACGACTTGGTGGAACGGAGCGACGGGCGTGTCGTTCCCGAAGACCAACCAAGAGAAGAACCCACGTTCACTCGTGATGGCCGGACTGTCCATTATTTTCGAAACGGTCTCGTAAGTCGGCTCGTCGTACAAAGGCCTACAGAAGTTCGCCTCGACGTTGCTACTCAGCACCAAACCTGCCAGAGCCGCGGTCCACAATGCCAGGCAGGTCAGACGCATCGCACTGATGCAGCTAGGTACATAAAAACGAGAACAAAATCGATACATATCGGTAAATTGTTTAACAATAATTTATTTGAACACACCGAAAAATCTAAGGGATGTCATCAAATCCGAAAAAAAATATAAAAAAACGATTCGGCTCATGGTTAAAATATTGACGTTTATCCCTTGGATTTATTTGTGCATTATTATTTTTATTTTTTATTTTTTGTTTTCCTTTCGCGGTATTTTGCGATTTTCGGACCCCTCTCTAAAGCACTGCACCGTTCATGTTCAATTGCCCGTCTAAGAAGTCATCGGATAAAACTTTTTCAACTTTTTTATTACTTCGAGAAGTTTTTTTTTGGCAAAAAGAAAACCAAAATCCTAACATCAAGCAACATTGTAAAACTATAATAATACAGCTTCCCCGGTTCGTTAAGAATCTAAAATCTTAAATATGTGCTCTGTATTGCGAGAAAAATTATACATTTATTTTATTTACCGAAAAGTATATTGTTTTTTTTTTATTAAGATCCTACTTTTTATGGGGCCGCGAAAATAGTTATAAAAGTAATATAATAACATTATGATTTTTTTTTTTTAACTAACGAATACATTTTGATATATGGATTTACATTTCACTCCAATTATACATGACTTAGACCCTGTTAATTATTATTTATACACAATTTAACTGCCGGTGATAATCAACAGTGGTGTAAAATATGGTTTATTATTAATAGATTATGTTATAAAAGTCATATCTTACCCAAAAAAGTAACATTTCGCCCAAGCCGTGTGCGAACAGTAATTTACCACAATGCTACACGCTAAAAAAATCCAAACTGAAAGCGCCGCGATCGCTAGTCCTGAAAACAATAACCGTCAGAATGTACACGACACGCTTCTATTTTATGGATTTTTTTTTTTTGGTTAAATATTATAACAGCTATATATATATACGTATATACTCACCGACACTGACGGACCACCTGTATGTTTCCATTTCTTTCAGGCGGACTACGTAATTGTTGGCCAGTTCTTTCATGTCCATCAGTTTAGAGATGAGCTTACGCGTGTGACTTTCGTACGGATAAATGGAGAATTCCAATTGACGTCTGTGATCCATCAAAGCTTGTTTTACACCTATGAAATAATAATAATGTCGGTTTGAGTCGTCCTACTCGCCATGGCAGTCGTCGAATAGAGATTCGCCATATCTTTAAAATCAATCTGTCAATGGGCAAAAGCTTAACCGACGAAGAAATCAATATTGTGTACATTTCAGTTCGTTGGTGATATGAGACATATACTTATAAGACAGACATAACTTATTTAATATTTTGAACACTGCATCGTCGACAGTGATGCCCTCCCCCCCAAATTGAAATATATTGGTCGATCTACATCTGAAGCACGAAAGAAAAAGGCATTACGAGCTTCAGAAACAGATGAGCAACGGAAAGGAAGATTAAAAAAGGAATACAGGTTAAAAAAAAGTTAGGAAAAATTGACACGGGCAACGACGGGCGTGACAGCTTATTTAATATAATTTTGCATATGCGTATACAATGTACAGATTCCCATTGAATAAAAAGATATAGTAAAATATATATGCATTGAAAAAAATACGTATCAAAGTTCTACTCACGCGATCTCTCTTTTTCCGTTTGATCGTGCACGGCTCTTGGAATGTTATTTACGTTTTCCGCTGACGTCAACCGAAGATTCGACAGTCCGCCGTTTTCTACGTTCAAAACGTCTTTAATCAAATCCATCAAATTATCCTGTTAACATATACAGCAATAATTATTGCCGACGATATCGCCGAACTAACGGTATTAAAAAAATACTGTAGTATTTACGCACCAAGTACGTGTAGTTTTCCGTTTGTAATCTGTTATTGACGATCATGTCGCACATTACGGACACTTCGGAAGGACACCGTTCGGGTATCATTTGCAATTCGGCGTTCAATTTGATTATTCTCCCGTTGTACACCACAATGTCGTCTTTGATCGATTCGGCATGCAAAATGATTTCCCGTGCTTTTGGAAATATCTTTTGAAAGTCTAAAACGGTACGTAATAATATAATTCCGACGGTTAGTAGAACAATAAACTCCGGCCGCGGTAAATCACCAGAGCCACGATAATGTTATTTTACCTTGAACTATTTTGGTAACGTTGTTGGTCCTGGAACCGAATCTAAGACTGGGGCCGTATATTTCATTTTCGATCGGTCCTCCTAACTGTTCAGCTACGTCTGCAAAATATCGCGTGCAATATTATAGAAAATATATTTTTATCTCATCTATTTTTTAAATCACTACGAACGAAAAAACCATTCTGAGCGAATGAGTACATAAATTGTGTTTTCTCCTCGTTGTCGAGGAAATCAACAAAAAAAACCTATAGAGGATGAACTACTGAACATTTCGATAAATGTTTTAAATAAAGCACTATCGGATGGAAAAAAACCCGCGTCTCTTTAGGTATGTGACATGAAAAAATCAGAGCAATTTTACTAGCCGTATGCAAATTTGATTTCCGAGAAAGGAAATCGCATATCTTTGTAAAACTTATAGCGCATTCGCCGCTACACTCGGAATCTAATAATATTCATTAAATTGTTGTTTAAAAATGAGACATTCGAACATTCCGTTAGCCGAAACACGGCGATGTATAGATTTTTGCCCTGTAAAACTCGCGAATAATTACACTACCTCCTCTTGGTTCTCGATTTCTCCACGGTCCACTACTTATTACGATGTCGGTCGGTTAAGTACGAACCCTTGTTTTCGGTGGAACGCGACACGATTAAATCAAAAGAACGATTCGCGGACCACTAAATAAAACGCAGGAGGACGCAGATTATAAACGAATTAAACCGCAACATATAAATATAAACGGCAGACGTATTTCATGTTTTTGAGTGTTCGCCTCATTAAGTATACGCGCCAATCGTTAATCTTTTACGCTTTAAATTTTATTTTATACGGACCGCGCGCATTTATGTATTATTCTGTTTTATCCCGTGACCGAACGGTTTTTACATATATTCATAGCGTTTATTATTATTATTATTATTATTTTTTTTTTTTCAAAAACAATAATAAATTATTTTCTATATTTAATGGTTTTTATTTGTTTTTTTTTTTTTTTTGTTTTTCCAAATACAATACGCATTCGAAATAAAACGTTCATACTGTTTTTACGTAGCTATACATATATTTTTAATAATTCATGCAATATATGCGTACAGAGTGATCTGTGGACTAGTGTATTGTTTCTAAAAACAATATTTAACACAGTCATGTTATTTTGTTGGATTCTCCCCGAAAATAGAAACTATTGCACTGTATTTTATCTGTAATCCCTTTTCATGTTACTTTTGAAAATTTATAGTGAATCTCTCTTGACCAAACGGGCTTTTCAGATTTGGTGAAATTATCAAAACGCTCAATCAATTTTTGAGCTATTTATAGGCATTTGACATTTTCCAGTTTTTTTTTTTAGATTGTGTGTGATTAAAAATGTTCAGCCAAACCGAGTTGCTTAACAATTTATTAAGAGGTTCATTATAAGTTGCACTTAGTAGTCAAAAAAATTTTGGCGTAATATAGAATTTTTTTGTAAACGAGTTTAAAGTTGAAATTTCAATAAAAATCTTTAAAATCATGCGGAATTTCGTGTATTATTTTTCGATCTATATAGATATAATTTTTTTACAAAGTCTTCCAAAGTACGTTCGTAAATTTTACACGAGGTTCACCATAAGTTGTGTTTGGCGGTAAAAAGTAAATAGTTTAACATAGCGTAGTAGCATAATAGGCATTAGGCGTGCCATGATTTTGTGTCTGATACAGCACACTTTATCAACCGTCCCAATAGAACAACATATAGCCCACTTACCCTCTTCATTATAAAGGCGTATTCCGGGGTGAGGGGAGTAATAGGAAGATTGTTCTCCCTTCCCATTAAGAATATTGAAATAAAAAAAATAATAACAATTATCACATAAAATTATACTAATACCTAAACTGATGATTACAATAAATATAATTAAACCAACCCTATGGAATAGGACTAAATTCATTATTGGGTACATTTCTTTTAAATTTACAAGAAATTCATTATAAGTCATACTTCGTGGTTAATGTTTATTAAAAATTTAATATTTAAATTTTGACAAAAAAATTGTTAAAGCATGTATATCCGAACTCCGCTTAGAATAGTTTTTCGTAAGCAATGTTTAATCGTTGCATATAGGTATACATTATACATTAAATTCTTTTCTATGACTTATACCTTTTTAACTTCTCATCTATAACAGCGGCTCACTCTTCGTGCGAAGTATGTCTATCTTTTTTTTAAGCATCATACCTTGTTAAATTAAAATTAAGTTCTAGTCGTTTTTTATGTAACGTTTCCGAAAAATGTTTTAGCTGATATTTTTGGAAATATTACTAAGGGTTTTTTTTTTAAATGTTTGTAACTTTAATAAATTTAAATAAAATCGAAGGTCCCTTAAAAGTCGGCATCAAATCATTAGTGATATGAAATTATTATTTTCTTATTTAATCGAACTATGGTGTATTATTATGTTATTTTATTTATTCTAGACGATTTATTTTCGCCTAGTGTAATTTTAATTAATCCAGATAAAACAATTTTTTTTCACACTGTATATACAAAATACAACATCATAGCAATCTGCTCATAATACAATATAATCGAAACGTTTTAAATACTATGCGTTTAAAATAATAATCAAATGTAAGTAGGTACCTACTTATAAATTAAAAAAAAAAACTACAACGTATTCTAAAATCGTGTATGAAAACAATTAATTATTTGATATGCGCACGCATGAATTAAAAAACAATTTTATATCATTTACAATTGTATTTTTTTTTGTTCGTGTTTTTTTTTTTTTTTGTATTTAAATAACAATTGTTTGACGACGGGCACAACGACATCAGCTCTCACAATGTATGTATATAATAATAATATTGTATTCCGTGATGCGTTCCCTAAACTGTGAAGCCCGAGGGACGGCCAGGGAGACATCACGGACATCACACTTGACAAAAGAGGCAATTTATTAATAAGGATCGCACCATAAAATTAGCATACGTGTATTGTGTCATTTTTTTGGCACAAAAAAAACCATATTCGTGTGCCCTTATTCACAGTGCGGTGTATCACGCAAAACCCGAGTTCCAAATCCGAGCAGGAAAAATACATTTATTTGAAAAACAAAACGGAGGTCAACAATCAGAAGATTATACTGAAAGGGAATTTCTACTTACTCTTAGTATTCTACGATATATTTCATAACGGAGTTTGGCTAGACTATATTTTTGCTGGTGGTTATAAAAGGATTAAACACTATTATCCATGTGAGCATCTTAGATACAATTGTATCCTCTATCGCGATATAAGTTTAAAATGTATCAAGTATATTTGTATTATAAGTTACTTGAGTCAATCTACCCATCTAATATCGAGTCTATAGTTTCTACATGTTTCTTTAAAGTACCTTGCCCTTAGATGCCCGAAGAAGCAAGCTGAGTCATTTCCACGGGGCTTTTCAAAAAAAACATCGAACTGAAAGTGATTGTACGAAATGGGGGACATTACTGGGAATTCCAAAAAATTTTTCAAATAGAATATAACCACAGCATCTTTGAAAATACATTATACGTGAAAAATGTAATTAATATTGTTATTTTAATAATACATTAATGTATAATCGAGTATCAAGTTTCTAGTATTTAAATATATAAATTATAAGTATCGGTAAGTATCTCAAATCATAGTATTTGTTACATAAGTATCTATAGACATACTCATTTCAAAGTATCTAAACCAACTGTAAGTAATAAGGAGATTCGTGTCTCCAGATTTGCCGTTTGAAAAGATATACTAACTGCATGAATGAAATGTGCTCAGAAAATATTGAAAAGTAAAATAAATATTACATCGTATATTAAACATTTTGAAGCAAAATATATGTTTCAATCAGTAAGAATCGTTTAAAATATTAAGCTCTACTCGAAAAAAAAAATTATACAATTTTCGATTTACTCCATCTACAAGAGGAAAAACGTTTAATTGACATTTTCATTATACCGTTCATTATAATAATATTGTGTGTGCTCATTAGTGCGTCCCCTGTAATTAGAAGCTTGCTTATAACAATAATATCCTGACGTCAGCTACAAAACTCATCCTGTTTAAATTATTTGACATCATTTCATATTCGTGTCACGATAGCAAAATCTTTCCGGGATATTGAAATCAATTTGAAGACTAGTTTCGAAAATTTGTTTTAATTGCACATTTTCAAAAGAATATTAATCAAATTATTATTTTAACACCAGTTTTAACCGAAATCGATAGTAAAAATTTGAAAATCATTTTTTATCACACTAAATCCCCGAAACCAATTTTAAAATTTAAATCATGAAATTCAATAAGTACCTCCCTACTTTATTACCAAAAGTCTCTGGTGAACCAAAAGTACGTATTAAAACTGTGGGTAAAAGAATATGTATAGAGATTGAAAAGCCAAAACTGAAAACAAACAAAAACTAGATAGTCGTTATTATTTTTTTAAATAACTTTGCAATTTCGTAAAGTGTTGTCGAGTACATATTTATTTTATAGGAAAAATAAATCAGTTTTAAATTTTAATGACGACTCGAGGTGTCATAATATATTTTTTATCGAGTACCCAAAGTATCTATATATTATATATATATATATATAATATCATTTATAATTTCAAACGAAAAAATATCTAATAGGTATACACATTAAAATACAACGGTTCGGTTGATTCGTAGTAATAAAAATATATGGAATCGACAAGAGAGATATATTTTTAAAAACGTACAATTTTATTTCTGTATCTATAGGTACGTATAATTACTATCGAGTACAACTTTTCCATGAGCTTTCAAAAAAAAAACCCGTCAAGTTTCCACCTGACTTCCTTATTATTACTGAAGAGAGTTGGCATATTATTATTCATGTTTAAATAATCAAGTTGACACTACCAACTACCTATAGTTAAAACGAATAGAAATACTTTTTTTTCCATACATATTCTCTGAGACACCCACGTTAATAAACATTTCGAATATAACATAATAACGAACTTAAAAAAAAAAGAAAATCATATTTTCGTTGTCATTGTCAAAAATATAAAAGTTACACAGTATGTAGCAGACCTCCGACACTGAAGTCGAATTTTACCCCACCTATTTTGTATCATAAAAATTAATATATTTTTAGTATTATTTATCATTTAGAAATATTTATGGAAAAACGATAAATTACCGAATACTAAAATAATATAAAATACTATACCTACTATAATGTTATTAAGCTAATTCCGAAAATATTGTGAAATTTAATCATATAAATGGTAGAGATGAAAGTTGAAACCCTCAAAAGGTACATGCTTGATTTTCCAAGCATATATAATAACCCAACTTTTATTACAACCCGCGTATAAAACAACACTAATTCCCGAGTTTAGGTTTAGTGGGAACCCGCAGTGTTCAAAAGTAGTCTGAAAATAATAAATAATAAAATAGTAAAGTAAAAACAAAATTACAAAAATAGTTAATACTCGTAAATAAATATATAAATAAAAAATGTGTACATAAAAATAAAATAAATAAATGAATGAATGTGTTGCCTGGAGTATTATGATAAGTATATTATACAATCGATTTCGAGTAAAAAATTCATAATCGGATAAATCACAGTCAAAATGTAAAACGTGACTCACAACACTCCAGGCGACACGTCATATTCATTAATTAATTTTTTATTTTTATGTATAGATTTTTTATTTATATATTTATTTACTATACTTAATAATATTTGTTGAAACTTGAAATTTGGACAGAAAACATGAATTCACTTTTTCTAAGCGTGGTAAAAGGTTTTGAGCTATTTAAACAAATTTTAATTTTGCTAGTTTTTTACTTAATTTTTAGTTTTAGGTGAGAAATGATTATAAACCATCCAAGCAAAACTGTCTCATTTATAATATTGAGTAGGATATTTATATAGTTGTTGTACTTGATAAAAATTGTTAAATTAATGTGTAGTTGTGTCGTTTTACATTTTGATTTTGATGTACCTAATGATGAATTTTTAATTTGAAACCGGTTGTATTATACACTTATCATAATACTTTTGGCAATGAATTCATTAATTGATTTTATTTTTATATATAAATTTGTTATTTAAATATTTATTTACTATGATAATAAATTAAGAATATTCTTTACTGTTCTTAAAATCTAAAAAACAGTAACTTTTGGATAATTGTTAGTTTTTTTTTTTTTTTTTTTGGGGGGGGGGTTAATAGAATTTTAAAATGTTAACTAATTTCAATCTCTGTTCCATTGATTATTAATTGTCACCACCGTTGAATAGATTAATTCCCATTCAATGGGAGTATATACGAATTATATAGTTTTTTAGTTGATTATATTTATAGTAAAAGGGTGTAAGGTAGTGGAAACTACTTGTTAAACATGGCACGTGGTTAACTGTCATAAGGTTATAAAACAAAAAAGTCGTAATACCCGTCGAAATCTGGTGACAAACTTTAATACTTTTAATAACGCATCCGTTATAGTGACGATAATGACGAATTAGGTGGAAAATAATATTATATAATTGGAACGGGTAGGTAATTTAATTTTACGGCCTATACGTTCTTGTGTATAAAATTACGTCTATACAAAAATAAAAACCATAGATGAGACGTAGTTGGAATTTACTCGTTCGAATATTATCATTTATCCCTGGTGCTCAAAAAAAAAAAAAAAAACATGTCACTGTGCATCGTCTATCAATAACTAACATAAATCACGAACAGAAAACTTCAGAAGCGATGATACCGATGAGTTTCTGTCGTAAAAAAAAAAAAAACAATTAGATTACGTAAAAGAAATAAAAAGGCCTTTAAAAACGGTTTCGAAATCAAATAGAAATCAACCGAAAGAAATTTATGAGGAAAACCGTATCGGTGAGTGTCGGTTTTTTTGTAAAATGTTACTTTTTATACCTTTGACAGCGAGTAAAATATATTTTAGAGAATGTGGTAAAACAGGCGGATTTTTCTTCAAAAAACGTTACACCATCTAGACATAACTGAATTACTTTGAAAAGTACTTTTTTTGTGTTGCGTTATTATAGTATGTAGACTGTGGGTACTATAGAAATGTTATTATTGGCCTGGGTTTTACTAAAAAGGGAAAAAGTAAAAATGTCACTTTTGTTCAACAATACCGCAGCATTCTTTATTATATGCCGTACAAGATTCTATAAGATTTAAAACAACTTCGTCGGAGACACGTTATATAAAACAAGTAATTTCCGCAAACGTGTTCGTGTAGAACCAAAACGAAAAAGCGATTAAAAGTTTTGAACATAAACGCAATTTTGCGGACATGACTCGAGTTCAATCATATAAGAAGTATACATACACTGCGGCGCAATTATTTACTGCGAGCAACGAAATCGATAAGTTCTTCTATAAAATATATAACTCGCAAAATGTCGTTAGGAAATTAATAGAACGTCATCGCAATTATTGTACTGCGTAAAGACGTTTTATTATATTTACACAAAATAACGGAAAAAATTAAAATCGATTTATTTATTAAAAATTTATTTACAACCAATCTCGAGTCATTTAATGTGTATAACGAAAATCCACTTAAAACAACGCTTTAAAAAAAATAATTACTACATTACGCTTATTTATTAACTTGTGTTAAATTTAAGAGTATTTTTGTTGGGCCAAAACAAACCACACAAAACCAAATAAAAACTATATAATTTGAAAAGGCTATAAATAACTCAAAAATTAGCCAGGATGTTTTGAAAAGTGTACCGCGTCTAAAAAATGTCCCCTCATACACCGACGTTATACAACTTCTTCTACAGTTGATGCTCGGAGCAAGTTTTGCCTGGTAGAAAAATGTATCGATTCAAAAATATTTTTAAATTACCTATTTTACAAGTAGTCACAAGTCATTATTATTAATGTTTTACCATAAAATGTTTTTCACACGAAATAAAATTAAATATAGATACTTATCAAAGAAATTTTAGAGAAAAACCGAGTATACAATTTTGAAGACCATATTAAATTCTTATCATTAGTTTACATAATTCTCTATAAATATTAAACCATTATCGAAAGTGTCTAACAAATTCGGATTTTCGATTAAATTGTCGCTATTTGTATTCTGGAATAATAATAAAAAAAAAATAAACATATAAGTAAGCCAATATTCAATTTTTAATAATTTATACGAAGCAAAAAAATGTTTCAAATAACTATAACTAATTTAAAGATGCCTACAAATATAAATAATTGTAATACCTCTAGAAAATATTAATATAAAATGATAATTATTTAATGAAAATTTCAAATACCTAAGATTATGTATAACAACGTAAAAACAAAAAAAAAAAACCGTTTTGGTGTAAATGTAGGTACCTATTTGAAACAGTTAACCAGATTGATTAGCTGGTGGTTTTTTTTTACTTTTCCTCAGTTTTTCACATTATTAAAATAGAACAAGGAAATATAAGAAATCGTCTCTTCAATATACCAAATAAACAAAATATCTACAAGAAACATACAAATGATTAGAACAAGATAAGTACTTAAAAAGTTGTTCAGAACACAAATTAAAAGAACCATATAAAACTAATTCTCATTGGAAATTAATATTTTATAAAATGTCGACAAGTACATTTTCTATATACATTGTTTTTTTTTTTTTTTGGTCGAATTTTTCCTAAAAATAGAGACTATAGCACTGCATTATGTAAAACAGACACTGTCTATTATACAGAATGTCTCACGAATATGTACCCATTTCGATATCTCTTGGGGTAGGTAATAATTATAATCAAATTCTAGTTTGTTTTTTTTTTTTTGTTATATGACTCACGGCTTACAGGGAAAATGACTTCAAATATTTATATTTTAATTAAATTCATGTTTAAATAAAAAAAAATATGAAAAAATAACTTTTTATTTTATTATTTTCAAAAAAAATGTTAAGAAAATGTTTCAACTTTTTTATTTTTATTAACCTCGTGATTTTTAATATTTTGTTTAGTTAACATAAAAATAGTGTATTAAACGTACATAATAACTAGTATTTTGGTATTATATCAAAATGTGTTAGTTTAATGATAATTTCAGAATACTATACATGGTATTAAATTATTCACTACCATCTGATACCTCTCATGGTATATCCTTGTAAGACACTCTATGCATACATTTTTTTTTCACGCTATTTTGGACATTTTTAGCGGTTTTCTCTGGGCCGAGAGAGTTCAGATTCTTGAGTCAAACTTGTTTTGTAGGCAAGTTGATATTATAAAAGTTGAGTTGAACTATAATCATATTATTGCTGACGGAGGAATTTTTTTTTTTAGATTTATATACCTCTACAGACTTCTAAAATGAAGTCGGGGAAATAAAATATTCTTTATGCATAGCATTCGTATCAAGGACATGCTTCTTGGGGGTTCTTACATTCAACCCATCTTTCCCTTACTATTTTTATGATAACATTTCACTATTTATTCGAAAGTAGTAATTATAATTAATAGTATACTACTATTATAAGTATAGTATAGTAAAGTATAGTATTGTATTATTAATTATTACCACATAGAATTGTATTGTTATTTATTATTTTTCAAAGAAAAATTCCATTATCTACAAAATACATGGAAAAATTCTAGTCACAGAGTTCTACTACAAACATTTTTTTAAATTTTATTTTTGCGCGACTTCTTAATGGCTAGGCCCGCATGTAAGTTTCCCGTTATATAGCTAATAAATCATCTTAAGAGTTAAAAATGAAATTATTTTCGTTGTAGACAAAATGTTTTATGAACGCAAAACTTTTTGACCGATTGATTCTTGTAGGGTTTTACTGGTATTGAATCATTTATTAATATAATAATATTATTAGGTCCGTTACTCTGCAATTCCCGCATATACGTTTATATTATCGTCATTTTAATTACTATTCCTGTAAAGTTCATTTACTCAGAGTGGACACAAATACATCGTATTATATATAATATTCAGTGTAAATTCTAAATCATCTCCGGTCAACCTATTTCGCATTATAAAATGTTCTTTGAGCACCGAAGTTTTATTTTTTTTAAAAAAACGTTCATTTAACGAAATTCGGTAAATTGCATAAGTTTCCGGAGTTTCATCTAAGTAAATATAAGTTGTATAATATAATAGTAGTTAATATAAATTTCGTATAATATACGTTTAAAAATATTATGAAACTCCAAAATCGTGATGAATACGTTAAGATTGAATGGTTATATTATTTAATAATCACACTGCAGCGGGTAATTTTCGTACGATTTTTTTATTTAAATCATCTTGTTAATATCACCTGAGAAAATTGCATTTAATATTAAATAGCATTACGTTTAATTTTTTTTTTTTTTATGCACACTACTCGTAACGTCAAAAAGCTACCAGCAATTATCAAATTTTATATTTTTCCATCTTTACGTATTATATTACGTTTTGTATTGAAACTATATTAAACACCCACTTTTGATTTTTGAACAGCAACCTATTTTGAAAATTACAATAATTTACATAAAGATTTAGTTGAAATGATTAATTAATTATTTAGTTCATAATTAATATTATATTTGATAAATTTGCCAAATTATGGGAAAAGAGTTAATTCACCCAAAAAAAAAACTTTGTTGCATAGCTTAAATAACCTAATCTTAATAATTTAATAAGTTTTTCAAATGTTCATATTTAAAAACAAAAATTAGTAGGTGTACAATATTTCCGTAAAATACTAAAAGTTTGATTGTTCAACCTGTTTTTCATAAAATGGGAAAAAATAATGGTAATGATGGAAAAATTATGAGAAAAAAAAATTAAATAAGAAAAATGAAAAATTGACTTGAGTCGTTCTTCCTCCTTCTGTATATCTCTGGTCTAAACCCAAGGATATTACAGACATAATACAGTGTAATAGTCTGTATTTCAAGGAAAGTCTGACATTAACACTGCAGCATTTTTTTACAAAAAATTATTTTCCGACATAAAAAAAAAAAAAAACATTATTTTTTGCTATGAGAAAAATACGGTAATACAACACATCTAACGATTTTTTTCTTTTTATCGTAACTTTGAGATCTACAAGTTAATTATTATTACTATAATTTAGTTTGCGACGAAACTTTTTCACGTACTCCCATAATATGATGTATATTCCATTTATATACATGTACGCTGTACGTGCAGTATAACTATCGTTTGAATGTAATTCCATCTGATATACCAGTTTTATTCAATAAAAGAGATGCTGAACACGTAAAAAAAAAAAAAGTATTTTTTTATTCTCCTTTAATAAGTACGAGTATCGCGTACGTATTATGCGTATTATTTCTCTCATGTCTCTCGGATGACTCGTAATCTGCAGTGTGATTAAAATGCAAAAAATGTAAAATATTCTTCTCGAAATAACGTAATTGCTCATGTATTAGTTACCTATTCTTTGTCTTTTAATAATTTAGATTGAGCACGTCTATTAGTACGATAATTATTGATCACAGTGAAGAAGAGCGAATTAATTAATGATAATAATTCACTTGATCAGGCGAAGTTAAATTAAGAAAAATATTCCACGATTGGTTAAATTAAAATTCAAAAGTTCAGTTAAACATGAAACGATGAAAATAATTAAAATTTTTAAGTAACGAATTTTACATATTTTTTTTTATTTTCATAGAAATTTGAACTTTGAATAAAAAAAAAATGATTTTACATTACGCTCAACTTTTTTTTTTTAACCACTAATTACACCTTATAATGAACTCTGTGTTAAATTTATTATGTTTACTGTGTTCGAATATTATTTTGGGCCAAATAATGATTGTATCGGCATAAAACCAAATTAAAACCGAAAAAACTCTACAGTTCAAACGACTAAAAATAACTAAAAAATCATCAGTGTTTTGAAAATTTTACCATGTGTAAGAAAGTACTGATCTCATATTTTACAAACTTGGAGGAAAATCGGAACAGGAGTTCCAGAAGAAAAGTGGTTTACAGACGGACACAAATAAATCACACATTATATTTTAACGCAATACACTTCTCAGATTGCTTAGAATCTAAACTATGTTTATGGGCTTCGTGAACATTTAAACTTCAAACAGTTCAAAAATTGATAACTATAACAATTGTGACATTGTATGAACTTCTCCTCTATGAACTTATCCAGTACAAACTCAAACGTATTAATGAGATTATCCAATTGTAATGATAATAATTCTACAAGTACAATTAATTTTGAACGTAGGTAAATTAATTTCATTATACAATGCTCGTCCCATGTCACAACTATAGTGCCATCAAAATATTGTTGTACACAATGGACCACCCGCTCTAAGTCAACATTTTTACAATACAAATGACATATTATTATTAAAAGCTGGATATATACTTATTCGCACCATAGGCAGGCCACTGTTGTCGGTGAAAAGCCTGGAAGGTCGAAGGCACCTTCAAAGTTATAGAGTAATTTATAGTTTACGTACTAAAAGAAAGAATAAATCAATGTAACAAAACACGATTCTGAATGGTAAAATCACGATCATATATCTGAGGTAAAATATGATTAGAACGGTTAGTATTTTTATATCTTATAAGTATATATCAGATGCGTTTGTCTGTTTGTAACGATTTTTTCTTATACGTCGAACATAAATTGTGGATTTTATTACCGAAGAATATATTGGATAATAGCTATTGATTAATTTTTTCCACTGCCTACCGAACAGTTTTCAACTATTAAAAAGTTTTTTTCACTAGTTAATCGAATATCGAACAGTTCAGAAGTGAATATTCGGTAGTTCCCATCGTTAGTAATTATGGTTGTTTCAATGTTAACAACGTTACACAGTGGTTTCAATCGCATTCCTAACCAGTTCCAAAAATAGCCAATTATTTTTTTGAATAATATTACAAATAATTTGAACGTTTTTAGTGATTATTACGAATTCACGATCGACAAGACGCTGTGTCTAGTGAAGCAGTAGGTACAAAGGATAGTACATTACTATTATAACTATAAACTAACCTAACGAGAAATAAGATTGTTGTTTAAACATTGTTTCAAATAATAATTCAACGTTTGGATCTCAATGTAAATTAATTGCAAACGCTATATATGTAAAGACTTGAACATTAATTTGTATAATTTTAAAATTTTAATGGATTTTGAATTGTTTTGTATACTTTAGATTTTGACATTAAAAACTTGAAATTTTTACAGAAAATGTATACTTACTTTTTTCTAAACGTAGTAAAATGTTTAAAACATTTGTTATTTTTAAGCTATTTATAGACGTTTTAATTTTGAGAATTTGTTACGTAATTTATTAATTTAGGTGATATTCTATAGATGAATTGTTAGATTTCACGGAAATACTTGAAAATTTAACAGGAGGTTCATTAAAAGTCGTACTTTGTGAGCAAAGAAAAAATATTGTAGCTTAATACAGTTTTTTTTTTTTTTTTATGGAATAATTTTGACGAAAACCGTAAATATTACGACCTTTCAAGATGTATATAACCAAATTTCACTTCAAATGGTTTTTCGTTATCAATGGTTCATTGTTGATTACAGGTATAAATTAAATAACTTATGTATCCCAACATCCCTACTACCCGTCTACAACAGTGGCCGCCCGTCTTATTTTTTTGCACTTACCAATAATGTAAATATCCTTATTCTTTTTATTATTATAATTAATAACAACACAAATAATTCGTTAAACGCATTTTTAATAATGATTTAATTATTTACCCTATTTTTCCAACACACACAGGTAAATTACAGGTTTAGGACACCGGTACCTGAATGTGTATGTCATACACGGCCGAAGTCAATTTTTATGAAATAAAAACCGCTGGTGTTGATTGTATTTTTACAATTCTATTTCAAGTACATGTAATGTACTTGCTTAGTTTCGTTGCCGATTAAAGCAATTGATGTTCAGTAAATTCGTTAAGGTATTATATTCGTTTTAATATATAAATATATATATATATATATATATACTGATGAAAGAATTGATGTAAAACCGTTATATTCAAAGGCGTGCGCATAGAGGTAGCAGAGTCAGCATATGCTGCCCCTGGACTTTTTTTGGGGCTATCGCGGCCGGCAAATATTGAATAATGGACTTCAATAAAAATATGTTTCCACAAATGATGTCCATTGTAGATAAAAGAATTAGAGCTTTGATTGTTTCATTTAAAACTTAGGTTATATACCTATTTGATTTTTTTCTTTTAAAAATAAACTTCTCTAATTTTGTACCTACAGATTCAGAGTATAATTATTTTTAAAATATATATTTTATATTGTTATTAATGTTTGTATATTTTATTTTATTAAAAATAATAAATATTAACCATAGACTTGTGGAAAAATACACTTTAGTTTCTTATTGTACAACTTTTTATCCGAAAAACAAATAACCAATACAATTTTAATTTTGATATCCACTAGTAATATAAGTAAAACCTTGAGCTGATTTTAATGGTGAATTTGGAGAATGGGCCGAATTAATCTCTTGCTGCTCCTGAAACCGGAGTCTGCGAACACCTATGGTTATATTATATTATACTATTCACAAAAGTACTACTGAATAACACGCTTATAAATGTGTTATTTGATTATTATAAATATATATATACGATTTTTATAAAAATTATAATGAACCTCCTGTCAATTTTTCAAGCATTTCTGTTTAATTTAACAATTTTATTCATAGAGTATCTACCGAATAAAAATTACGTGAAAAGCTCAAAAAATTAGAATATCTACAAATAAAATGGCTCAAATGTTTTGAAAATTTGACAATGTCTATAAAAGGCAAATATAAGTCTTTTGTCTGAATTTCAAATTCCTACGAACATTTTTAATTGAATTACAACATAAAACAAATTTGAAAATAATAAAAGCATTATTTTCGTAAATTTTTCTGTTCTTTCTATTTTTTTTTTTTTTACGGTTTTCTTCAATTATTATGAAAACCGCTTGGAAAATCAAAAAGAACTTCGCCAAAGTACCACTTCAGAAAAGAATCAGAGGCAGATTTTTGTTAGAAATTGTATACACAGTATAAAAAAAAAAAATAATAATAAAAAAATAAACATCATTGTAAAAAAACCTTGCTTCGTTCGGAATCTAAAACAACTTTTATCCTCATCAAAAAGTTTAGGCAAAATTTGAGAACATATAATTTTTTTTTATTTCTTTTGTCGTATTTAGAAAAATTTTATGTCTACTGTCGTACAAAATATCAAAAATAATTATTAATACTATTTATATAAAATATGAATATGAAGTGAGAAATTAACCTAAGGTACCCTATTTTTGCCCCCGAAACAGTTTTTTTATGTAAATTATTTTTTATCGTGATGCGAAACCCGCAAAGTTTATTAATATAATTAGGTATAATAATTAATATTTGTTTCTACCGATTTGATACCACGTCAACTCCGCTGTCAAATAATTATTATGTAAACGGTCTCTCATCATTTATCCCCCCCTCCTCCATTCCCAAATCTCTTAAATGGAATTTCGTATTAAATTTAAGTTTTATATATTATATAATATTTTAATTCCTAAACTCGTTTTCGGACGATGTGTACCTACTTATAATTTATCTTTGTAATAATAATTTATATTATAATAATTTATCCAATGTTTTTTACACCGACGCCACGTCCATTATTATTATTGCTCTCGTTAATCCTTTTCATCCGGGAAAAGGTTTTTGTTTTATACATCACGGACATTTATTAAGGATGGGATGATGAGAATATTTCCCATGACCTACACCGGTTGATATAACATCGGGTCCTTTCCGTACAGTAGTCAAATATAATCGTGCTAACAGAACATGCGATCTATATCATATTCAATGAAGACCGAATCAAACTTAAAATCACCTACGATTGTCGTTAATGGTCGATTACCTAAAACAAACTAATTTGTTCAATCAAACACGAGTGCACAGCGTACAATGAATATTACAGAGAGGTAGTTTATTGTTCACTAAATTGAATGTGTAACTATATAATTCGTATAATATGTGACTAACGGTCAAAGTCGCTAAGTTATCAAGCATCACGATCGATACAAACAAATGTAATATAACTTACCGTCTAATTTCGCGAAAACCGCGTCCGTAGTCAAGTCCATCGATCCGAGGGTTATGGTTCTGATTTGTTTTTGCGTCACGGAAAACATGTCCACCAAGTCACCGACGCCGAATTCGAGTAGGTCTCCGACACTCAGCACGGCCGATCCCATCGTTTCGTTGGTCACCAACAGTCCGCAAGCGCCGGCCCTGAATACACGTAATTATTGTCGACTAAATAAACACGGCGATTTTTTTTTTAATCTTCGAAAATCTCGAGTTTAATTAATTTTGGTGTTTATGAATGGATCGTTGTTCGACCGTATATTGATTATCAGAGGCGCCCAAACATTGCCCGCTAACCCATGTAGTAGATAATAATGAGCATCCACCACTTACATTATGACAGGTTCACAAATAACTAACAAACTTATAAATTGGATTATTTTTACATGGATTGAGGCTATAATTTGTGATTTGTACATTTCAGCTAAAAATATTCCTACCCAGTACCCACCACCCCTGAGCATCCGTGCAATAAATTGCACTACTTGGTAAGCGGTGCCACTGTTGATTATGAAATTAGCCTAGGTAACCACTCGCGTTTTTAAGCTGCAACACAGTTCATTTCGAAACGCATTATTTTTTCTAACTCTGTTCGAAAACATACGTTGTTATTTGAAAACCAAAACCCTATAAAATATGGTACACTGTGGAGTAAGTGGAAAATTTTGAAAAAAAAAAAAAAATCGCATAAATAAAACTGTTGAACGATTCTACAATAATATAATAAGTATAATGTGATATGACTGCAAAAAAAAAACCCGAAATTAAAATATTCACACAAAATCTTTGAATAGATAATCGCTACATATACAAAGAAAAACACGTTTTTATCGAATATTTTATTATTATTAATGTTAGCGGATTTGTATAAATCATTCGCGACTAAACAACTCGAACAAAATTATTTTATGTAAATACCGCAGTTAGTATATTCATATTCGTATTACAAGCTCGTTTTTGGGGATTTTTTTTTCTTTCCACCGAGCACATGGCTATACCATAAATCTCGTTTCCCATTTAACGTACACCGCCGCAGTCGTACAACGCCAAGTATTAAATAGGTGGAATTCCTGTTTCCGCTGGTATAGTACGCGGCACGCGACCTTTTTGCCGCGTGCCATTTTTGAATGTTGCAAGAAATAATTAATTGTAAAATCTAAAAATAGGGACACAAATTATATAACATTTTAATTTGATACCTTTATATTCGTGTATGTATATATGTATATATATATATATATATATACAGGATGTAATTATATTTTATATGCATTTTGTGTAAACGGTTTTAAAAACTCGAAATCTGCAAATACAAACATTAATAATAACAAACGCTAAACGAAACATATTGAAATCTAAGAGAAACATCTTTTTTTAAGTTTATTTTTTACGTTAGAAAACAAAATTATTTTCTATTTGATATTTAATTTCACATAAATAATATGAAAAATTATATTTAAAACTAACAGTAATTTAAAATTTCCCTAGAACGTCGTACATTTAACTTGAATAAACTACAGAACTGAAATATGAAATCAAAATACAATTATTTTAAAAATTTCGTTATTTTCTCTTGGTCAACAATATTTTGAAAAAAATAACTGGATATACATCGCACCACGAGTAGGCTACTAGCTATTGTCCGGAATATATAGAAAAAAATGCCAAATAACGTATCAAAAAATCGGAATCGAAAATAACGCGATATTTTAAACATTTTTACTAACCGAAAAAAGGTTTTCCAAAAGAAAAGTCTAAATCAAGGACCCTGCAGGAAGTGGACTGCTGAAAACGTAAACAAATGTCTCGTGAAAAGTATTATCGGATAAAAATCTGCATCTTTTAATGTGCCTACTGTATGAAAAAAATCGAAGAATTTTTACTAACTGAAAATATATTCCCCGGACAAAAAATACATATCTTATAGTAAATCTGTAATGTAGCTTTTACATTAGGCTCAGAATCTAACAAATACGATTATTCAGATTATTCAAATTTCTATTATTATAAAGATTTCATAATTATCGCTTCTTCTGGTAAATATTTAAAAATCGTTTACGGCGTTTTTCATTTCCATTTATAATAGACGCGTGCTCGATTAACCATAACCACTCGTTTGAAATTAAATAAATAGTATCGTGTTCACGGAGCGAAGTAATTTGTGAGTGATAAACAGAATATTTTAATAAAATTATAAAAATTATAAGTTTATCACAGCTCTGAAACGATCATTCGAAATCGCGAGATTTTGGATTTTTATTAGACGTTTTGATTGACTATTATACAAGGAATATTTGATTTTTAGAGATTTAATTCTCGAGGAATGTAATATTGGTTTTACTATACGATGTGTTATTTTCTTTTAGGGTGTCTATGAGTAACATTTCTACCAGAAATTTTGCCAAGATCAAAAAATGATATTAGTTTTTTTTTTTTATAAAATTATATTTCTATAGGGTTTTCAATAGAGGTTGTTTTCTTAATAATTAAAAAAAAACTTAGCAAAAACGGGTATTATTTATGGAAATAATCATTTAATTGTTTTCGATATTGTTTTTTGTTGAAATTTAATTTAAATAATCAAAAAGACCTGATAAAAAAAAAAATTGGGTGTTATGTATTTTTTTTTTTTTTTATATATATATATATATATAAACGTTTTAAACTCAAATTTTAACGAAAATCGTAAAAATTACTGCATTCCAAAACACGTTTAACTGAACTACGCTCAGAGTCGTATTTCGTCAGCAATGATTTATCCTTGCATACGGATATTAGTTAAATATATTTATGTATCTTATATCTTCACAAATTCCTACCTACAAGAATGGTACACCCGTCAGCAGTATCGTTTCTACTATGTTTTATTTCTACAATGTTACAATGTTAATAATGTTTACGGATTCAAACGCTATTTTATAATCATTTTTACAGCTTAACTCGTTCACCGATATAATTTAGATTTAAATTGGTTTAAAAATTACGCATTTATATAATAATTATTTTTTTTTTTTAAAGAGTCCTTGACTCAGATCCGTTCTAAAATCAGTACCTATCTGCATTCTATACACAGTTTGTTTGGAACGATAATATTATAGATATATAGTGTATAAGTATTAAAAAGGTCGTATTATATATAATATGCTTAAAAGATTAATCGTTGAACCTTTATAATAATGATTTTAAACGACAGAGTTCCCGTGTTGAATGCTTGAAACGTAATTTAGTTACTTAGGTATATCAAGTTTTTTTTTTCAAACATCGTAAACAATTTTGTCGCTCGGAAATAAACAAAAAAAAAAACATCGTGCATTTTTAAATTAAATTTCTTGTGAGAATCTTTTACGGAATTTTCGTCTATATATACTTAAATTAAATTGTATTTTAAGAAGGAAGGGAGGATGCGAGAAATAACAAATACGAATCAATTTTTTTTTTTATATTACCTAATCAAATTTCAAACCGACAAATTATATCAAATTAACTTTCGAAAAATAAAACAAACGTAAAAGGCTTTAAATGTATTATTTGAGATTTAATTTCACATATTATTATGTGAAATTTATGATTATCATTAAGATTAAGTACATACATTTATTCGGAACACTTTTTTTTTAGCTACGAATCCACGAAAACAAGAGTCTATCTCAGTCGTATATTGTTTAAGAAGTCTAATATTTGTCTCCGCAAAATAGGAGATTTAATTTGAGATTTAATTTGTACGAAATTGGGTACATTTATGATTATGATGGTTGTTAATGGGGGGGGGAGGGAAACACAATTTTTAAGGACTTACGAAATTGAAATAATATATAAACACAAATAATCTGCACATTCTATGTATAGACCAGTGGTTTCCATCTTCTGTTATTTTGCGCCTCCTTTATAGCTTTTTAAAAATCTCTCAGCCCCCTCCTCTTTTAACAAACGTTAAAGCAAAAAGTTTTTTTAGCAAAAATATACTGATAAGCAAACAAATCTTATCAAAAATGTCCCCTGTCGCCTCGACGGCCTTGTCTTGTATCTTTGTCGATACCCAATCCCCGGTAATTATTAAACATTTATTTTTCCCTACATCGTAAAATACAAATAATTTAATAAATACTGCAAATTTTACTCCATGATGACATGTTCGTCATCGCTCCATGATGACGGCTTGCGCCTCCCCAGCAATGTGTAAACGCCCCTCTACTCCTCTGTTGGAAAATACTGGTATAGACCGTTATGACGACGGGGTCGGTTTATTATAAAACGAATCGGGGCAAAAATAATATCGTGTCCTATATTATAATATTCGTATATTATGCAAATGAGGTTAAGACCGTACGGGGAATTCGGACGGTTGTCGCATAGGTACCTATATATATTTTTCCGAGATTTTGTTCATTCGCCATGGACCGTTCGCTCGTACATATAAAGCGTAATTTAAATTCACCGCTAAAGTCTATAATATTTTGCGTTTGTACTTATATTATAATATATATAGGGGGGGGGGAATCGTGGTTTGTATATTATGAAAAAAAAATCCCTTACAATGGTTTTTTTTAAATTTAATACCTCAAACAATATACAAGTATTATATAGCGCGGAAAACCGCAAAAGCGTTCCGAACACTCACCCCAACACAAGCAGAAGCATTTGGACGGCGACGACCAGCACGCCCTTCTTGCAACCCGATTCCCAGCCAGTGTCTCCTAACCATTTCGCCTCTTTGTACCGGCGGTGCCATTGTACGCCGTACCGGGCTAAAGTCACGCCGAAAATCACCATTAGCAAGCAGATCATAATCAACTGCCATTCGTACGGTAATAACTGAAAAAATATAATAAACATTAAGTCAATACACGTATGTCACTCGAAAACGTAATATTTTTGATTTTTTTTAATTTTAGATTTTGAGTATACAATTAGATAGCTGTAAAGGTATTTCTAAACACTTTTTACGGTTAATATAAAAACGTCGAAAATATAATTCCATCACAAAGCCAAATTTAAAAAACTTCAATTTCAGTAATGAAGCTCATATTAGGAAAATATTCTTCTATTCTTTGCAATCCTATGTAAAATCAAAAATTAAATAAAAGTATACAAACTGATACTCTAAAAAAAAAAAAATATTTATTTTGATATTTTGATATAACTTACCACCGAATACATGATATTATTATTATTATTTATTTTAATCCTTAAAAATAACTAGATAGATTTTTCATTCATACTCTCAAGTTACCATTCGTTAAATATATTATATATATTTTTTAATTTTAATAATTATACTTGAAAAAGTTTTAGTTTTTTATTACGAATAGGGGAAGAGTTTCTTTTTGTGTAAAATAGTTTTGTTTTTTACTTTATTTTTTTAATCCGCTGAAAAGTTTTACGTTAATAAAATACTATAAAAAAAAAAAAAATGTAAATAACGATTATTTAATTATTATTTTTTCAGCCCAGATCCTGATTAAGAGTTTACCGGATCTGGAGCTCGATAGTCTAAAAGGCTTTTATTACCCAATTGGGTTATTTCCAATAACCCAATTTTACCTCTTTAAAAAAAAACAATACTATAATGAAATGATTGGACAGAATAATCTCTTTTATTTAAATTACTTTTTTTATTTAAAATTTTTTTATATCGATGAAAACATAAATATGGATAATACTACAAATTAAGATGTTACGAATATTTATATAATAAGTCACAGAAATCAGCTAATCGTGTTTTACTATTATTGATAAAACAACGCTAGCACTCCAGAACTGCACAGTTTAAAATATACATGTACAATATATACCTAATTACCAGGGGCGGATCCAGAAAAAAATAACGGGGAGAGGGAGGAATGATTTTGAAATGGCATATAAGCCACGCATATGACAAGCTCAATGATGAATCAAGACTAAGATTATAACGCAGCTGATATATTGGAGAGTGAACGGAAGGAACGATAGGGGAATGGCCCCTATCGCTGCCCCCGGATCCGTCACTGAAAATTACAATGTGCAATAAATATTTTACGTTGTGCCGTAGAAATCAAAGTCAGAAGCGATAGAAACGCTGATAGGAGAATATTCCCAGGGCTGATGTAAGAGCAGTGATTTTAGCGGTCACTTTCATAATTCGTTGGGCATCCATATTATCTTAATTCGTAAATCATATAAAATATATAGTGTATATACAGTATATGTATATTATATACTAGGTCATAATATATAAAAAAACGGATAAAAGAGACCATAAAGTTCTATAGTATATAAAGAAGGAGTTTAAATGACTGTCACGACCATACGGTAGAATAAGAATATATTAAACAAATATTTTCTCTCAGCAAATTCACAAACAAAAACATATTGACTATCTACTTATTAGATTCAATGAGTAATAAAAAAATAAAAAATAAAAAATATATATATACAATTAAACATATAAGTATAGCGTATAAAATAAATATTTATTTTTATCGACAGTGAATATAAAAGATAAATCTAAACAATAGTTTTTATTATTCGTTGAAACTGGAAGTCTTGAATTAAAAAAAAAAAAAAAACCCGAGCCATTCGAATATTTCGAGCCATTTCGGAAATATCCTGAGTGTTAAATTATTTTAATGGAAATATACAGTAAACATATTATATTTTAAAATAACAAATAAAGTGAATAAATATATAAATACAAAACTAGTATATAAAAACAAAATAAATTAATGAATCAATTGAATCAATGTGTCGTCTGTAGTATTATGATATTATATGACCGGTTTTGAATTAAAAATTCATCGTCAGGTGTAACCGCAGTCAAAATGTAAAACGCAACTGAATACAAAAAAATTAAATGAAGGAGTAGAAGTACACAGAAAAAAATAATTAAAAATTGGTCGTTTTACATAGAAATAATTTATTTTAATAGGAGAGATAATTTAAAATTAGTTATTATTAGACATAGATATGTTAAGAAATATAAATTATTTCGTTATTAATTTATTATTTGTTATTTAAAATGTATTGGTATGAGATATTATTTTTCTTTATTTCATTTTATGTATGTAATCCTTCTAGAACTGAATTAATGTAAATGTTATTTTGAGTATTTAATATTTCTAAGTCTGTATTAATATCAAAACTTATATTGTGGTTGTTTTCTAAAACACGTTTAACTTAATATATCAATGTTTAATAATAATTAATTTTAAATAACCTCTCCTATTAAAATAAATTATTTCTATATTCTATGTAAAACGACCAATTTATAGATTTTTTTTTCTATGTATTCCTTCATATATATATTTATATCTAATTTATACACTTTGTTTATTTATATATTTATTTACGAGTATTAACCATTTTAATAATTTTGTGTTTCGCTCCACCCAGAATTCGAATATGACGAAAATGCATAAACCCAATAATAATAGTTTTACATCCACTATACTGTAAATTTTAAATAGTTATCGACATTCATTAGGCAAGTTTTCCTTATAATTTATTATCATTTTGAGTAGTATCCCGGTTACACTGAATGATTTTTACTCCATATACATTCGTATGTATTATTGTTCGTTGATTTTAAATGAGATAATTCGGAATCGAAATCGCATACTAAAATATACGTGGTTAAGTGCAGCCCGACCACCACAGAATACTAATGGTTCGACTTTCGACTCCGTCGATCGTATAGTTGAAGTTGTAACCCACGCTACGAACGATGTTTTGAATCGAATAACAGTAAAAAAAAAAAAAAAAACGGATACTTGCAGCGAGTACTCGATATTTTGCTCCCCCATTTTATTTAAGTACGTTTTTTGTGACTCAAACAAAAGGAAAAAATATTAAAAATCAGGAATGATTTCGACACGATCTTGGAATTCCTGATTTCAAGATGATAATATAAAAGAAGACAAAAATAAGAAACAACAAATTATTGCTTATAAACTTATTAACGTTCCGTTAAACGTGTTTCAAAAATACACTAATTAATTCAATTTAAAACTATATATTAATTAGTAATTGTTCAGAATAAATTTTAATTGTTTGCGACGTTTTGTCTCAAATTTTTAGACACTTCTATAGAACCAACAAAATTTGTATTCATTTAAATAGGAAAATAATAACGAAATATAGTGAATTTTATATTTTACATTAAATTTTAAATTTAAACGCTTATAAAAAAATATTTTTATTGTACTCATACAAATTTCAGGCAAATCTTTTATAAAAGTTACGAAAATTTTTCAAAAACTAGACAAACTGGATTCACTTGTTTTATGTGGATTCAATGTTAATAAATAACTCAAAAACTGATAACATGTTTTTAAATTGTAGAGAACATGTCAAGAAAGGGCCGATCGGCAGAGTACAAAAATAATTCTGTAAAAATATCAGGATGCTATGATTATTTTTCACTGAATTTATAACAAAAAATAAAATCGAAAATAACGGAAACCATTGCACACGTTTTAGTTGCGGTAAATAAGTATTTCCACTTTTTACCATTCTTAAGACACAACAGTGGATTTGAAATACGCATAAATTTTGTATGAGAGAAGGGAGACCAGTGGCAAAAAAATTTCTTATGAAGAAACTTTTTTTAAAATTTACATACAAAATAGTAAACGTTATGTAAAAATAAAAAAAAGGAAATGAGGCAGATCATGCCCTCAAATCTTCCCCGTCCATACGCCCCTGACGCATCAACTAAACGAATGTTACCAGAAACTATTATATAGAAGTCGATAATCCTCCGAAGATTTCTGTTAGAAAAATTGTTAAGAGGTACAATAAAGTAAAAAAAAAAAAACACATACGTCATAATAGTAAAACCAATAGGCACATAGCAACGATCGGATTACGAGTAATTTAGAAAAACAAAAATTTAACGTATTTGTTTATCAGTTAAACGAGTTAAATTTTATTAGACAAAAGTTCAAACAATTTATTATTCACGCCCATAGTAGGTACGGTAAAGAAATCTGAATTAAGTTTGTCCCGCGGGTGTCGAATCGAAACTGTCAAGCGACGCGCGGCGATGTAAAATATGCGAGTTAACTTTATTTTTTTATGTCTACTAGATTTTTAAACAATTTCTACGGTATTTTATACGCCCAATGGGAAAACATAATTTTTTCGAATATTCCGGAAGTACGATAAATATAAAAAAAAATTTACGGCACTTCAAATTATGTATTACCGGACTGCGCTCGGAATCATCTTTCGTCAAGCAATGGTTTGTCGTTGCTCACAGATATAAATTAAATAACCTTATGTATCCTACCTTCCAAACTTCTCACCCTACAACAGCGGCCGCTCCCATCCCCAGTGTCGGCTCTTTTTTTAAATTGATTTAAAAATGAATATGGTTAACAGATTTGTATTAACTGTTAGTTTGTAGAGTACATTTTAAGACCCGGTATTTCCTGTGAAAAGATTACGTTATAGCAATGATGGTAAGAGGGGAGTTGAAAGTTATAACTCCCAAAAGGCACATCCTTGATACTTATATTGTACATGTACAAAATAATGTTTTCATTTGGAAGGCTAGTAATGGTGTACAAGCTAAAATCGAAACGGCATGGTAAAATTCGTATTTAAATTATATTTTCCTTAGATTCCGTAAGTATTATAATAAAATATAATATGTTATTGTTAATTTGATGAATATAAATAGTATATTATGTCTATGTGTAATGGCCGGTTTATTCGTTTAATAACTAAAACGTCACAACAAAATCTAGTGGAAAAAAACCTGAGGACGATCTGCAATTAAATAGACACTAATAAGATATATTCAATAGTATTAAACATGTTTTGTAAAATGTTAACTTCGAAATATTTTAAAATAAAATAACCGCATATAATCGTCTAAAAGAATACCGTAAATTAGAACATGTTTTCTGGGAGCACCGTGTACAAGGAGGCTCCTCGGCTGCAGGCCCTTATGACCTTCATAAAATGGAGCTCAGCCCCCCACGGTTCTCGTATTATAAAAAAAATTTTGAAAACAGTGACAATACAGTGCAATGTGCAATAGTCTCTATTTTAGGAAAAATTACACAAATAATCAATTATAGTAAATTGGTTTCTTTTTTTTTTTAACTAAAATCAGCGTGAAAACAGTAAACTTGCAGACTAATTATTGTACCGACGGAACCTACACCAAGTAATATTATTACTCAACTTACAACACATGTTGTTTAGGACTGTGAATCGTGATGATATTATTATTATTTACTTTAATGGAAACAAATTTACAAACACGATAATAATTGGTTGTAGTCTGCTGTACACGTTCCGTGAAATGGTATAAAGTTTAAATATTGCATAAAATACGAATTATTAATAATTTTGTCTGTTCGGTAAACGATTCATAACAAAAAAATATTATGAACAAATAGCAAGCGATTCCGTTCATGGAAATCATCAGTTACGAATTAAAATATATATACAGGATGTGCCACAAAGATTAAAGATCAAATTCTGTTTTTTTTTTTTTTTTATATATATTAATTTCAGAAAATTCCTTACATAAAGAATACAAATATTTATATTGCAATTAAATTTGTATGTTTTAATAAAAAATTTAAAAAATTAACTTTCTATTTGATTATTTTTGAAAATTTGAAGACAGCCGTTTTATGTAATTTATTCTTCTGAAAATGTTGACCAATCAACTTTTTATTTTCATTAAATTCGTGAGTTTTAATAATTTATTAAAGTTCAGAAAAAATAAGTGTACAGTCAATTAATCGAAATAATAATAATTAATTAGCGAATGCGAATACAGCCTGTGGCATAATTATAGGTACTGTTCTCTGAACTTTAAATAACTATTAAAAATTATTAACTTAATGAAAATAAAAAGATTGATACGTTAAATTTTTTAAAAAAAATAAACCGTACAGAATGGCTTTCTTTAAATTTTTCAAGAATAATAAAACAAAAAATAATTTTTTTTTTAAATTTTTTATCGAAACATAACTGCAGTATAAATGTTCGTAGTCCTTATTCCTAAGTAAAATACAAAAAAAAACAGAATTTGATTATCTTTATCATCTCTGGGGGTAATACAATGTTTATACCTTTGTAGGACACCCTGTATATATATATATATACATACATTTTTAATAGGTACTTTTCATTTTATATTATCTCTTTTTTTTTAAATAAAAGTTTTTAATTTCTTTAATGGTATTCATATTATAATAATAGTTGAGAAAAAAAAGTTTTTAATTTCTCCGAGAATTATTAATTATTATACTAATGATTCGTTTTTATAATAAAATCTCCCATGTCCCTCTCACCATCGATTTCATTTTAGACATTTTCTGGTATATATATTATCATTGACTGAGTTGGATTAAAATAAACATTTTTTTTTTTTATGAAAATGTATACTTAAATGATTTAGTCGAAGAATTTTTCCAAAGTTACACGAATAACTGCAGAGTAAATCTCATTTTAGATTTTCCGAATAAAACTTAAATCACAGTAAGTTTCTTGGACAACTTAAATAGTGACCGAAATCAAAGTTGGATATAAGTTTAACGCGAATCGTATACATACATATAGGTGAATACTTTCGATCGGTTTGTTGTTATTAACTCGCGAATTCAACGTTATATAAGTATTGTTGCAGGCGGCCGTTTTACACCGAGTTTCGGGTGAACTTATGCCCAAAGTCGGAAACGATAAATACGGTTTGTATTAAGTATTTTTATTGTTAATACAAACAAGTATTTTTATTGTTGTGAAAAATATTCAAACACTTAAATTAATATTATCAAAAACCAGTGTGGTCGTGCAAAGGCGCTTGCAGTCGACGGCCCCAGACACGTCTAAAAAGGTATTTATATCCCGCGGCCGGTTAAATACCGGCTGCCGACTAAATCTGTTAATAAACAAGTTGTTGAAAAGCTACGTAATAACGTAGCTTTTCAACAAAAGTATGTTTTCGCGTATCTGAACGTTCACGTTACGGTCCTTGGACTCTTATAACCAGCTTTTTAGCAGTTACGAGACGTTTTAATTGCCATCAATCATAAAATATCGGTTAATAATGATAGTATTATATAATCGGGCTTTAGTTATTCGCGATTGCCACGCTATAATATACTCGAAATTCGTTCTCGGCTGAGACGATTTTTATAACTCGTTTTCCGACCGGTGAATTTTCAGGACGTAAAGTGGCTATCGTTTGGCTGGATGGCCCGGAGTACAACTCGCTTACCAGGTGATCCATTTAAGTAGGTACACTCATTGTCTCGGAAAGTATTATCTTTTTCCGGAATCTGTTTTCCAGAACATTTAAGAAACACGCAGCTCTACAGTTTTATATTTATGTTATTTTTGTCAATCTTATTTTTGAGAGTGAAACTACTACCTATTTTTGATTTTCAAAAGACAACCTATATTCCAAATTCCGTAAATAGATGGAGTATTAGTTAAAATACATTTTTGTGTTGACATTTATGATTTCTGTCGATCCGTTGACAGGATATTCCACTTTTAAATGTGGGTTGGAGGAGAGTAGTAGTGCATTATTAACACGCCGTACGCCGTACCGCGGTACAAATGATAATCCACTACTCTCCTAGCTCCAAACCCAAATTTAAAAGTGGAATATCTCGTCAACAGATCGATGGAAATCAAAAATGTCAACACTAAAATGTGTTTTAACTAATACTCCATCTATTTATGGAATTTTCAATATAGGTTGCTGTTTGAAAATCAAAAGTAAGTAGTGGTTTTACCCCGTGGTACACACAACGTTCCTGTACTTTCCAAAATATTGCATATTATTATCAAAGGGAAGAAATGGCACCCGTATAGTAACAGTATAGTCGGTATTTATAATTTGGAACATCCATTGATTTGTTTCGTAATTGGAAAACTATCAGAGCGCGAGTATATAGTCTACTGGGTACCTATAAAGGTATACTTTGTAAACGACAAATCCTTTTAACTAACGACTGCAGCGGAAATCCTACTTTTCGAGAGTAGCAAAGCACAGCATTTTTAAAATCAGGGGAGGAAGTTTACTTATTTTGGACACAATATTTACGGGGAGAAAAAATTAAAAAAAAAAAATCGTCCACGTCTTCAAGAATATCAAATGTATACTTTAGCCAAGAAACTTGATCGATTTGAGCGATAAAAAACATTTAATAATAATTAACAACGGTTTTTTCGGGTATGGGTATGAATATTTACTAACCCCCTCCTTTCCATTTTCACTTATATGGCAACGAACGATGCTCGTTTAAAATAATTACTTCCTCAGACGAAAGCAAATGCAGAAAGCATGCGTGTCAAATTTAAAAAAAAGATAATACTCCCTTATAAGCACCTTTTTTCATAACATTGCATAAATTAATGATTGTAAACACTTATATATATAGGATGATATTATCTAGCATTATAAATTGAATTATTAACACGTACTTTGTGTTTCGAGTTTTCCAGATATTTAAAGTATTTATATTTTTCTAGAAAAATGGTTACTATTTAAAGACGTGATGAAACTTTTTTTAAAAAAAATTGTATAACAATAAATATGATAAATATTCAACAGAGTTTTGGTTTTCGAATAATAATTTCACTATAATGATCCTATTTACGTACCTATCGTATTTATTCAATCGTCATTTAACGTTTTTATGCAGTTTTATATCATTTTTTTTTTTTTTTTAATTCTATTGGCGTTTTAATGATATGCAAAAGAAAAAAAAAAGCTGCACGACGTGCGACATTTTACGATATAGGCGAGTAGTGTTTTTATTATCGCTATTCTTTTACGGGAATAGTAATACCTATTTAAAAAAAAAAAAACATAGATTTAGTTTCGCGATTCGGTTATAGTTTAAAATAAATTGCACCGGTGTACGTGGGTAGGTTGGTGGATACGGGGACTGGGGAGTGTTGTCCGCAGTTATATTTTGCATATTATAATAAATGGCGACTATTGGTCAGGTAATTTATCACGGAAATTATATCAAACAAATCCACGTCTTTTTACAATAATAATATAGTAAAAACGAAACGATCATTCCATAATATTGCATAATAATAATGGATGGTTTATCCACAACGCGATTTATTACGTTCGTCCTTTCGCCCTTGTTTTACGGCTACGTACCTATATAATAACGACACGCAGGACTAAATGACCTTTGGTTTATGTTGAACTGTCTGCCCGAGCAGCATTTCGAGTTTTAAAATAATATATTACCTACGTTTGCAGTATTTAGGACCAATTGGTATACTAATATTGGTAACTGCAGCGGTAACGCGCGCGGTCGAATCAGCAAATCCATCGGAAAATTGTATTATAGAAAAATATAGTAGGCGATATCTACTATAATTATCAAACACCGCCTTTGACAATTTACATAAATTTAACAATTTGTATTGACCTATCATTACCCACCCCGGATTAAACAAAATCGATTTACGTTATTCACTTAATACGTTTGGAAAATCGATTGGCTATAATTAACTGTTTGACTGCATATAACCAACAGCTATTTTATTAATTGAAAACGAGCTATAGTTATACTAATCGCGTTTTAGATTTTATAAAATCATATTTTTTAATTAAATTAATAAAGCCGATTATTTAATAATTTTAATCAGTTTAAAGGTTTTAAAAAATATTGTTCATAAGTATACAAGTATATGAATAACTTTTAATATCAAAGACGATTAGCTTTTAATTACACGAGTTAGCAAACAGTATTGAACATTATATCGAAGATATAATGTTATATTATATGTTGTGTTATATAATGATATATATTGTTACTATGTATAGGTAATAGCTAGGTATACTGTAATAATATCAAATAACTTTTAAAATCTCAGTAAATAATGGAAGTTTGAAAATAAATAATTAGTACATCAATATAATGAGACCAATAAACCCGTTTATACGATATTTAAAAAATGCATGTAGACATAATTCGCACCATAGCCCACGGGTAGCCCTGTGAATTTTGGGCTTTTAAGACGTCTTAGACGGTGGCTATGTGGTGACGGAGTTGCCCGTGCAAATATTAAATATAAATATAAAAAATTCGTGCTAAATATTTTGTATGGCAAAATTCAATAACATTAATATTGAGCTGAGGAGATGGGTTTATGAGACGTCTCGTCAGCATCTCCCCCCATAGAAATCGATTTATGTCAAATATGGCTACCGTGCAAATTCTACAAATAGTTGTGCAAATTTGTGGGAATTATATGCTTAATATTGTCAACATTTTTTTTTTTTTTTGTTTTTTATTTTCTTTAGTAGGGTGTAGCTAAAAACACTGTCGACATATCCGTTTAGTTAAATATTGATTTATACAGTAGCCACTTTGGCACTTTTAAACTCTGAGTGAAGCGAGTGAATATTCATTTTACAATGATGTTTATTATTTTTTTTCTGTGAACAACTTTTCTACCGGAAAATTTCTCAGATTTTCAAGTGTAGCACTTTTTTTCATGTAGCGGTCGTCTTTTCAAACCTAAGTTCATATATGAATACTTAAGACCAGAGTCAGAAATTATAACACAATATTTTACAAATATATTTTATTAATTCGTTAAAAAATAATCAAATACTTTTTTAATTTCACAATTTAAATTGACGTGAAGGTGTTTGCAGTTGATAGTATCAGACTCATCTAGTATATTTATAATAAGCCGTTTACCTTACGACGCGGCTTCTTTGTAGATTTTTCGACAGCCGCTCTGTAATACCCGAGATTTGTCCTCGGCTGAGCAAATTTTATAACCTGTTCCCGACCGGTGAATGTAAATTCGGCACGCAAAGTGACTATTGCTTGGCTGATTTGACCTGAGGTATAACTCACCTAATACCACGCTGCATGGTCCATATTTCATACTATATAATATTATAATATACCAACGAAGAGAGCGACGACGACGTCTCTGGTTATAAAACAACGTAAACGGTCACAAGGATTTTACGTGGACGACGATATTTTATAACATTTTTGTCGATTAACACGACTACTCCTCTTATATGGGTCGTACAAAAGACGTGTTTTTTTTTTTTTTTATATTATTATTATTATTATACGTTTTGTACTATAGATATTATATATAGACACATAACGCCGTGCGTATAGCCGATAGTGAAATAAATACGAGTGCGCCAGAAAGCTCGCAACAATATCCGAAAAACATTCGAATGAAACAAGTTTCGATCTTGCGGATAAAACAAAAAAAAAAAAACCACAGCTCCGATATACGAGTGGTTTATACGGATTTACGAGTAACATATTGTATTACTTATGAAAACATACTCGTATTTATAAGGAGGGGCGACAGAATATAATACCTAGAATAGATTGCCACGCGCGCGTTCTCCATAAGAGCATACATTTCAGAGTGATCATACAGAGTGATTTCTTTGTCACGAGCCGCCGAATTCATAGCCAGGATTTTACTAAGGAGATGGATGGGGACAAAAAAAAATAAAAAATCCGAGATTACACGTTCGTCTGTTAACGTTATCATTTCCTTAATTACCTAAATTTGAAAATACACTACTATAAGTACTTAACCTGCAATGAAATATGATACTAAACCACATATATATATATATACGCTACAATAAAGTAACATAAACTCGAACGTTTATATGGTACAACTTTTTTAAAATTCCGTCAATATGGAATTTTAAGTATAAAAATATACTATTTTTGTATTGAAAAGAGGAGGGGCAGGTTTGCTTGAAAACTTATTGATATACACAATTATAGTGTACAAACCATTTATTCATTTTAGGACAGTAAATTAATGCTAATAATAATAGAATGTTAATAATATGGTATTGGGCCACGGGGTATATCATTTTGGTGAACCTACGGTCGTCATCAAATAACTTAGATCACTTGTATAATATATTTAAATGAAAAATTAAATTGTACTATCTGGGAGATTTTAAACAAATTTTAAGATTTTTTTTTTATGAACTTTGTAAACAAAGTCGGCATAAGTCTTAAGCGGCCTTTACACGTAGTTTTGACCGCGATTGAATGGCGTGAGGGCTTTCACGCGGGAAAGAATTGTCGTCTAAAGAGGTATCTAGATAACGGGTCTTGAACATGTTCAAAATTTGAAGGAAAACCAAAAAAAATTCGTAAATACTAAATATACAGTATTATATTATATATAACTGATAAAAATTCACCGTGCATGATACGTGTATAATATGATAGTGTGTCGAGTTTTTCCCAAAAACGCGCATAATAGGTACCCGTACCTCCCGGTTGTAAACAGAATTTTTATAGCCCATATACTAGCGCGATAATATTATAATAATACCGTGACAAGTCGTGAAATGCATAAAAGCAGAAAAAAAAAAAGAAACACTCGTTTTCCGTCACATTTTTTTACTACGCGTTGTGTCGGCTACCTGTATCGTTCGCGTTCACAAAGATTGCGTATTACGACGTGTATTACAATAAACTACAGGGTAGGGGCACGACGCATATATAAATCGTACCCAATTTTTTTTTCCTCTCTCTCCCACAACCTGCAACACTGCGCGTATAAATGACACACAATGGAATTGTGTTAACGCGAAATCCGATGCCGTTACGCAACCCTCCGAAACCCGGTCCGCTCCTACTCCGCCGATATTACCACGGAGACGATTCCCTTTACAATATTGTTAATAGTAAGTACGTATGAAGTACAATTACGATTAACGATCTTCGAGTAAGTAGTATTAGTATATCATCAAGTAATATTAGTGTAGTATGGATGTTGCAGTTCTCGCGTCGACCAATTTAAACCGATAATATCCGATATAAGAGAAACCGACGGGGAGAAAAAATACATTCGTCGCCGCGCTCAAAACTGTCCCGGTTGTGCTCGTAAATTAATTAGTGATGCGGTCCGGATTATCCGAAAATCCGGATTTTGAACGTTAAATTTCGAAAACTAGGAAAACGTAGGGATAAACGGAGATATATTTTGCGGTGTAGATTTCGTGATTTTACAATATCGTAAACACAAATATTGAAATATTACTTAATTGCCTATCGATAGTTCATATTTCATAATATAATGTTGATATTTTTGGATTTCGGATCCTGAAAGACTAGATTTTCGAACTTCGGAAAATCCGGTTTTTCCCCAACGCTAAATTGAATCAACGAGTACAGAAATTAAATCGGTAAATGTAAAAAAAACGTCCTAGGATATTAGAGACGGGAGCAGCCACTGTTATAGGTAATTCAATGTACACCAAAAAGCAATGATAAACCATTAATTACAAAAAAACGATTCTGAGCGGAGTTCAATTGATATAGTGATACTTTGTAAATAATATATATGTATATACATACATGTCATATTATATTATAAAATAATTAAATATGCTTTATATATTTTCTTTAATAATATTTGTTTAATGTACCGATTTTCCAGTTTTTCCACCGTTTTTTTCTGTATTACAAATTTGATAAGAAAACTCTTGAAAAAATCGAAAATGAATTCCCTAATGTATCTCCCCATACCGGTTTTCTTTCAGAAAAGGTGCTACACTTAAAAATCTGAACAAGATTTCTGGTAGAAAATTTTCGCAAAGATAAAAAAAAAAAATAAACATCTTTGTAAAAACATAAGCTTGACCGCTCCACTCAGAATCTAAAAAAAAAGAAAGGCTACATGGATAGGTTGCTGTTATGCGGTGGCAAATATCTGGGTATAAGATATTGTTTCGTGGATAGTTCCCTTCCTTCGGGGTTGTTATAGTTACACCGGTAAACCCATTTCGCCTTCCCCCCCCCAAACGGTAAAATCATTTGCCACCACTGATTTAAAATTTAAAAATTGTTTCGTCAGTTGAGTAATATTCGTAAAATAAAAATAAATATATAGCGATTACGTATGTATATTTATCAAATATTAAGATTACAAAATAAAAATATAATGGCTATAAATCTATATGCGCACGAGGGATTTGTTTATAAGCTCCCCAAAGACACCGCAGACCGATTTATATCCTCAAAAAAGCCCGTTTAGCCGCTTCATAAATTGTCCATTTGAACCAGAAAATATAATTTTGAAAATAAATTGGTACGTATAACATAATAAATTATTATTGTGTATTTTTCGCAAATAATAAAAATTACATTTTAGCGCGCTTTTAAACATTTTAAATGTTTTTATGATGTGAATTTTTTTTATTATTATTATTGGATTCAAATTACAGCCATTGTCGATAACGTGCACGCGTCGGGTGGTTTCAAAAAAAATAAATAAAAAATGTGTTTTATTATGTTACGCGTAGTATATAAATAAAAAGTTCAAACGGCAAGCCGATAGGTTCGGGGAATAATCAATTTCAAACTTTACACGCACGCTCTGAGAAACGGAGAGAGTTCTATTATAATATATCTTTACAATTTGCGAAAATCGTATTTTTAGCGGTCGAGTATTATGTAGTACAAATGTAGTGCCAAGCAGGATTTTCTGTATTTTTCATTTTTATATATATTTTTTTTGTTTTGTTTTTTTTTTTTTAACAGAATTATAACGTTTGAACAAATAAACGAGGACAGTTGCAAAAAAAAAAAAAAAAACAAAATGTTCTATAACATGAAAAACCCCCTTAAGAAAATATATATCGTTTATCGGTTTTTTTTTTTTTTTTGTATATATTTAAAATAAAGTTTTCTATAATGGATGGTTTGGGGACGTTATAATATATACGTACGTACACGAACAAACGAAAAGTTCCGTTGAGGGATTATTTTGTTTTCGAAATGTAATATTTATATTATAAAACGTAAGTATGTTAGTGTACACTGTGAGTTTCTGACATCCTGAATATTTTTATGTATTTTTTATTTTAAATGGGCAATAGTTACTAAAAGGTCTTACTCCAAAAACGCCTTTTTGGAGGAGGACTTTTACGGCGTATTATACACTCGTGGACAGCAGTTATAGTTCTGCTCGGAAACGTATTAATAATAATAATAATAATAAGCCCTCTTGGAAATGTAAAAACAACGGTTTATCACTCTATTCATGTCCAAAGAAACGATTTTGAAACCGAAATTGATAATATTGTACTCGCAGTATATTGCAATAGTAATAATTACGGATGAGATGTAAGCGAAAAAATTGGCAAAATATGCACAAGGAAAAACGAAAACATGCCAATGAATATGCATAAAAAAATTTACTTTGTACATTCATAATAAAGTAATATAATATAAATAAATTAAATTTATTGTATTTATTGCAAAATCTGAATATTTTCAACATCTAAACAACGATTACTATCCGAAGGAATGTTTTAACAACAGGTTAATATTCTGTGTACCTAAAAAATACATCTGTATATATTTGTAAATATTGTTATACTCACATTTAATTATTATTTATTTTTCAATTTGAGTACCATTCGATAATAAACGAATAGTACGATGATACGCATTATAAACGTATCGTATATATATATATACGTTTTACATTTTAGATTTGAACGCTATGTTATTGAAACTACAGATTTCGAGTTCAGTTTTTGTGATATGAATATCAAAAATGCTACTACATTCTTGTTCAATGCTTTAACATTTCTAAACGGCAAAAAATAATTTTGTCCATTCAAAACCAAATTTAAACTGAAAACAAACGAACATATCAAATGACTATAAAGCATATTTTCATAGTTTAAAAATAACCAGAATGTTTTGAAAAAGTTACGGTGTTCAGAAAAAGTTAATCTACAATTTTTTTATAAACCATTTAAGTCTCTGAAATAATTTTTTGCTGAATTATAACAAAAAAAGATGGGCATACTCCGCACGATGGATGGACCACTGTTGTAAGTGAAGAGTTGAGAAGGTAGAAAATAAAGAAGTATTTAATGTATATCTGCAAGCAAAGATTAATCATTTTTAACGAAAAACGATTCTGAGCGCATCTCGGTCAATATTATTTCTTTTTCAACAATATATATATATATATTAATAATATTCGTTTATCGGTTTTTCAATTTGATTCAAAAGTAGTAAAACCAATAGGTATATTATATTATTCCTTGCTATTCTCTGAACCTAAAATTAACGATAAAAAATATGCTTTGATCCCGAACCCGAACCCGAAAACACAATCTAAATTCGTATTTTATTCACCGAACATGGTAATGTTGTAACCAAACTATCCATGACCTGTGAATTAATCCCAGTTGACACAAAAACAATAAGGGGATTGTATCGTGAAATATTGCACCTGGCCCCTTATCAGTTTTCTGACGACTTGCATTGGTTACATTGCAATGGCCAGTATTGATTGTTACGTAATAGGCATTTTTGATTCCCCGTGAATTTCCTAACGACATGATATCGTATTAATTACGTAACTTTCAAACAGACACACTATAATGTTTTTTATATTAAGTTTAATCGTAATGCGTATTTTAACGATCGTCTTTCATTGGGTCGGCGAGAGTACACCAAAACAGTCAATGAAAACCCGCTCCTCCTCCTCCCCCTCTAGAAAAAATAATTTTTAAAAACTCGTCTAAATTTTAAACTCATACTCCAACACCTAAGGTCGTCGGTGTACAAACATATGAATCATCATTATAATTGATAATATTTATTTAATTTTGTATTACATTTTCCTATACATTACGAACATAAAAGATAGGATCGGCACTCTGGGTGACCATCGCGCTTGCGGTCGCCTAGAAAGACGGTTTTAGACGATCTTTTTGTTGAATTTTTTTGCGGTTATATTTAAATGTTTAAGGGTTGAAAATGATCAAAAATTTCGAAAGTTTACTATCATGTTTGTAATAAGTCGTTTTAACTATTATTATTTATTTGAATTCGTTATGATTATGATTTTTCAACAAATCTATGATCGTCGCACGCGTTAGTGAAACGACGGGGTGTAATAGGCACTAAAACGGCCTTTCTAAGCATCCGCGTTTGACAGTCCAATTTCCCCGATCCAAACCTTATCTTCCAAGACCCTGCTATAAAATGCCGAAAACACACGCGCACAGAGCACAACGGTAACGTTATTTAAGTGCGGTTTCGATTTATTTAAGCATTCGATTTCACTTTGACAAAATACACAAAAGTTTCGTAATCGGAAATCCGGATTTACGATAAATTTCAAATTTCATACAGTAGTCTGCGGCCCCCGTTAGACGGCAAAGCGGACGTTTACTTTTTTCGCGACGACTTCCCAGCTGTACGCGTTGCCGTACACGTCGAGCGCCAATTCGGCAGGCACGGGGTGCCACATGACCGCGGACTCAGCGACCCCGACGAACCGGAGCCCCATGCTGCTCAGCAACGTGCCGACGCCGAACGGATCAATGGCGGCCGCGGCCCCACCATAATCGGTCCGTGACGCGTCCACCGGCTGATCCAACTTGACGTTTTCGTCGAGCTTGGCGCTGGGGAACCGCATCAGAAGCTTGGAGGCCACCGGACCGTCGGTCGGCCGTATCGATACGGGGAACGGCGCCGGAGCCGAGGTATTGTCGATCGAGTAGGCGGTCGTGGTCGACGGCGGACAAGGAGCGTTCGCATATCGCACCCCGGACTCCATCAACTCGAGAGGCAGACAAGAACGACTGACAAACCGCACCGAGTCCGTTGGCGGGGCGTGAGACGGGGACGGGCGTAGACGACTGTGTAGCCGCGCTGCGTTCGTCGGCCGCGACTGTAGGCCCGACGCGGTCAACAGTGACGAAGACCGATTATTTTCGGATGTCTGAGGGATGTTCTTGGTGACAGTGACCCGCGGCGACGGCGGCGGACCATCGCACATGTGCGTCACGTTTACGGTGATTATCCGGGCGGCCGCGGCCGCCACCATCATCGCCGCCAGCAACAGACTGTATCTCGGCGACTGCATCGCTGTCACCGTGACACGAGAAACCGAAAACGCGATAGGGATGAGACGACGTGATATTATTACGGTACGCACGATGGGGTGTACGGTGCGCGCGGCACAAAACGCTACGGTACGGTACGTCGGCGTATTTCGCCTGATCGCGGTCGCGGACACACACGCTCGCGCCAAACCGGAAAAGACTGTCCGCCGCGATATTGCGCCGACACCGGGGATTATTACGTCGGCCAAGTCCGAGTTTTTAAAAGGTTTCCCGTGTACGCTGCGGCGGCGAAAAAAAAAACGTCGCCGAACGGGGTCGCGACCCCGACCGCCATTGCATTACTCTCAATCCGAACTTGATATGATTACCTATATATATATATATATATATATATAATTATATGCGATTCTCTACGTTTTTTTTTTTATAGAGGAATTACAATTTTGGTAGAAAAAAAAACAGTTTTTGTTTTAAATTATTTTCTGCGTCCGCATTGACCAACATCACATTTGGGCGCACGGAAAAATGTCCGAAAACCGTATGTACGCATGCATACCGAATTAAACGGATTTCGATCAATGTCGCGTTACTCTAAAATAGTTAATAAATATAAATCGACGTTAAATATAAAAACGTTATGTCACAATAATTATTTTATGAAAAAAATATCTAAGATTTGATCTAAATATCACCGAAATAAGCGGCACCATAAAGTTAACACTGCGTTCACTGCAGTATGCATTGATATGATCACGGAAATAAAAATGCCATTTTGAAATATTTAGGATTATATAGGACCTTATTCGTGTACAGGGTGATTTTTTTTTTTTTATCATGAACCAGCAATTATCTCAAAGGCGGCAGTTTATTACCATTCCCCACTCCTCCGGCCTAAACTGTTATAATTCGTAAATGATATATCTGATATTAGTGGTATGCATATCAAAATGTCTAGAAAAATATTCTCTATTCAAATCTGTGTTCAAAAGGGGGAGAAGAGTTTCCTATTTGAAAATCAGTAGTATGTACTTATTCAAGGAGTGGAGTAAAAATGTTCAAATGGTTTTAAAATAAAGCTAAAACGATTCCATAATGATTAGAAAAAAACAGAAATCAAATTTACTTACAATTTTCCGAGATAATTTCTGGTTCATGATAAAAAGAATCACTCTGTATAAACCAACGTTCGTTTAAAAAATGTAAATTCGTATATTATTATTATTGAATATTATAACTATGGCTCGGAAGTTATAGAAGACAAAATATGCACAACAGAATTGTAAAATATACATACAAATGTTAAATATGCAAAAAAAAAAAGAAAATATATAATAAATAATTAAGTGCGAATAATTCAAAGTTCATTATATAAAATCATAGAACGTCATTAATATGCACAAACAAGATAAAGATTAAATTCGAAACGTACCGTAGTTGTTGATAAGTTAATAATAGATCGAGACGACAAGAAATAAAAATAAATAACTACGTTGAATAATATTGAGTTTTACATTCAATATTATTTAATATACGTGAGTTAATTAATATAGAAAAAAAAAAATAAACGTTTTAGCAAATATTAAAAATGCATAATGTACGTAAAAATATGCGAAAATCAATGAAAACCTATGAGGTGTACATTTATTCTCTAAAATTTACGAAATACGCAAAATATCATGCATTTTAAATGTTCGTTTTTTTTCATTGTATAGAAAAAATTTCTAGTTGGGTCTGCTATATATCCAGTGTATACAAAAAAATATGCAACTCCTATAACTTCCGAATCTTAATTATATAGCTATGCGCCCCTAAAACGTAATAGTTGCCTATAGTTATGCTTTTGAATAATTTATACAAAATTCAACAATAGCTAAAACAAACGACTCTGAGCGAACTTCGGTTAGACATGTTTTGAAACGCCGTAATTTTTACGAGTTTCGTCTAAATTTTAACTTTAAATTATTGTATTTGAAATACGTCTGCATTACTATACTTTTTTTTTTTTTGACCACTAAGTACAAGTTGTAATGAACCTCGTGTTAAATTTTCATTGATTTCAGTTTATTAGCCAGACAATTTTATGCACATAGTGATACTTCAATAATTCGATAACCTTGGTAAATTGACATAAATGCCGTTCCCTTGTGAAAACTTTGATTACTCGAATGAAAAAATAATCGGCTTGTGAGTCCCATAATTCAACCTGATAACTATTTAGTAACACAATTTTAAAATAATAATAATAGCAATATACACTTTAATTATATGCGAACATATTGTATACTATGTAATAATTAAAAACTATAATACGTACATACATTTTAAAAACTCTCAGAGTCGGATTTTTTTCTTGAAACATTGATGTGTTTCTCATGAGTTTCGACTTATCGAGGTTCCACCGTAGTACTTACTAAACAAAAACTTAAAACACGCTTTTTTCCCTGTTTCGCTTTATCTATATGTTTGTGAAATAAATATTATATAAAACAAAACATGTCCTGACTGATTTAACATCACAAAGACCAAACCACTGGATGGATCGAGCTGAAGTTTGGCAAACATATAACTGTTGTAATTTAGGCATCTGCTGAAAAAGGATTTTTGAAAATTCAACCTCAAAAGAGATAAAATAGGAATTTTCAATTATGTTTGGAACATTAAATTATCATTGTTGAATTATGCGTTACTTTGATGACATAGATGATAATTTCGTTGTTAAGTACACAAAAACTATTATTATTATGAAAATGCAACAATAAATGTCTCCTATTAATTTAACCGTTTACGGATAAAAAAATGGACAAACTCTATCAGTATATTTCAGGGGTAAGAGAGTTGAAAAAAATTGTACTCTCCCCCACGAATTAAAATTACGTGCTACTATTGGTATGTTATTTTTATAAATAATTGTTAGATATTGCGTCTACAAATAAAATATTGTTAAAATATTAGATAAATCATAAATACGACATAATTTCAAACAAATTTATTTAAAGTATTATAAAGATGTAAATAAATACAATTTCAATATTAAGCTAGTGACGTGTTATTGTCAGCAATCAAATTTAATTTTAACCAAACTTCATTCTCTGGTAAAATGATTAAAGACCCTTTACCAAATTGCATAGGAATTTTAGTTTTCTCACACGGCTCCACTTCGTAGTTTGATAATATTTCTATTAGAGCCATTTTCAACGCAAATTCAGCAAAACGTTTACCTATAATACATGCGTAATATAAAAACGAACAAATTAATAACTGTGCAAATTCTAAACTATTATCTATTCATTTTACCAATACATATCCGCGGTCCATCCCCAAATGGAAAATATGTACCACTGGGACGCTTAATCTTTTCTTCCTGTGAAAATCTTTCTGGATCAAACGTTTCGGGATCAGGATAATACTGTGCATTATAATGCATTGAATAGGTTGGAATTACTAATTTTTGGCCTTTAGCAATAATCAATGAACTATTAGGTATCTGATACATTTGTGATGCTTCTCTAAATAATGCGTGGGCTGCAGGGTACTTTCGTAATGTTTCTAAAAAACGAATTGTTAGTATATAAGTATTAAGAAAAAAAACAAAACAAAATGTATACCATATAACTATTACCTATACATTGTATAAATAAGTCGCAATAGGTATAGGATTTTTGTATAATATTATCTGTGGTTTTGTTTGTTTGTTACTTTTTTTTATGTAACGACAAAGTCCAAGGGAAACATCAAATAGTAAACAGATAAAATAAATTCAAATTTCGTATTTAAACTTTTACAGTCTAAAATTCAAGTGCGAAAAAATATATTAGTTATAGTTCGTATAGATTATATATTAAAGAAATACATCCACGGATGAAAAAATCCCTTCGCCTAAAGGCGAGAAGATTCCCTTTTTAAGAGATAAAAAAATACTAGGTATATAAAAAAAAAAAAAAAAAAAAACAATGCACTTAATATAATAATTTAACGACCATTTAATACTTTAAAATGGAAAGTTTAGTCCCTAACCCCTTTATAGATGGTTGAAAATCAAATTTTGAAAAGACAGATCCTTTGCACGACAGATGGGCCACTGCTGAAGGTAAAAACTTGGGATTGTACTATATACAGACAGGAATTTCATTTATATCTGTATGCAATAATAAACCGTTGAAAACGAAAAATAATTCGGAACGAAATTCGGTTTGAAAAGGCCGTAATATTTACGATTTTTGTCAAAATTTGAGTTCAAAAATTTTATCAAAAAAAATACTACATTAAAAAGTTTTTTTTTTATTACAAATTACGATTTTCCGTGGAATATTCAAGCAGTTCTGTAATTTTTGGAGCAATATTTCTGGTAGAAAATATAAGTCGTACGAATTTAAAATAAAAAGGAATCCTGTCGCAGTAAATTTAACTGTTTTCATTTTTCAAACTACTATAAAAACAAAAAACAACTCTTTTCATGAACATGTAGCTCTCAAATCAGACAAAAAAGGTCTTTTGTTGATTGATGCAAGATTTTTAGTAGAAAACATAAGTGTTACAAAAATGTAAAAACGTTACGCCGTAAATATTTGTTCGTTTATTCCTAAGTTTTTTCACGGTTTTCCATTTTAACCACGTCTAAGATCTCTTGTAATTTTTTTATTGAAGCAATATTTTCATACACTTGACATTTGACTATGATATTTCATACACTCAGGGCTGTGTGTAGTGTTTTGTTGCCTTCGGATTACAATTATTCCGTGCGCCCCTTTCACATTTTCTCCACATTGACTCGTAAAAAAAAAAAAAAATGTCTGACTGTGTGTTTAACTCTATTATTTTTACAAATGATAATACTTACTATATGCTGTAACATACAAATTAGTAAATCCTACAAGGCCGTAATAATATTTTTTAAATAAAGTTAGATTTTAATAACACAAACATAATATCATTGATAATAATCCTGTCTTTTTCGTAAGCAAAAGGAAATTGTTTTCCATGACTGTATATTATTTTGGCCATCTACTGGTATTAATACTGATGCGACGTATTATTTATAATTTATAACATAACCGCATTCTCGCAACGGACAGATATCATTATCGATATACTCTTTTATGTTTTATTTATAATTGTAAAAGTAAAACAAATCGTGATAAAATATACAATGATTATGAAAAACAATGTGAAAACTACTACACAAAAAATAAAAAAATGTTTAACAATTTTTTCGGCGGCCCTAAAAAGTTGCGCCCCGGACAATCGCCCACCCGAGTCACTACATAAATACGACTCTGCATACACTGTATATGAAAGAGAAAATAAAATAAAACATTATTACAAAACCAATACATTTCTCGCTACACTTCAAATCTATAAAACTCATAGGTTATTTTATTACCGGTCAAAAATATCAAATTGGTGGTACGAAACGTATTTCTTAATATTATTTTTAAATAATTAAAAATGTACAGGGTTGTTCACTAAGCGTGCTCAACCCATTTTTTTCGTTAAATTTTGCATACATTCAAATTATAATTTGGAATTTTTAACTGTAGTTAGAGCCGATATTTTTGAATACTTATTTTTTTCACGACTTTTAAAATGTATCTAGTGGTGATACCAACCTTGAGAACCTTGAGAACCATGAGAACCTTTAATAAAAATTCCAAAAAATAGACGGAGTATAACTTTACATAATTTTAACACCAACATTTATTTTAAATAATACTTCATTTATTTATAGAATTTTCATTATAGATTGACATTAGAAAATAAAAATTAAGTAGTGATTGTACTCTCAAAAATAAGAGTAACAAAATATAACATGCGATTACATGTAAAGTGTAGAAATGGTTGTTTCTTAAATGTTCTGTAAAACAAATTCCGAAAAAAGTTTATACTATCCTAGATAATGAGTGTTTTACGATAAATCGACACCGTGCTGTCACACAAATAATACTTAACTATTCTCCCTCTACCTAAACTTAAAAGTGATATATCTTGTTAACGGATTGACGGGAATGAAAAATTTAAACACCGAAATTTATGTAAGTAATACTCCGTCTATTTATGAAATTTTTAATATAGACCCATTTAAAAAATCAAAATTACTCCTTAATTTTTTTGAAAAATCTAATATTTGAAAATATCGGTTTTAACTTGATTTAAAGTAAAAACAATAATAAAAAATAATAATTACCGGATATAATCATATTTAAGTAGGTAAGCTCAGTAAACGAATCGTTATGTATTTCTCCACTGCTATTCTTTGCCATGATGGACTTAATTTCTTCGCGTGCTTTATCTTGTATATGTTTTTTTAACGAAAGTTCATATAAACAAAAACTCAGAGAACTAGACAATGTTTCCAGTCCAGCGGCAAACATAACAAAAGCATTTGATATGATATGAGTATCAGTAAGTTTTTCTAAAATAAAAATTTAAAAAAATCAATAAATACTTTAGCGAATTAATAAAATTATTACTATTTTCAAAATTGATGTATACCTTCGGGTAGTAAATTTTCGTTTAATACTAAATCTTTTCGCACTTGCATTAAGATTTGAACAAAATCATTCCTAACGATGTTGTTTTCCTCCCTATATTTCATTATATTCCAGAACGTATTATAGAAAAAATTTGACGCCTCAGATGGAAAATCTCTAATCCTCAAAATTTTCAAAAATACAGGGTTAATCATCACAGAAATTTCCCTAAAAACTACCCTAAGTGACGGTTTAAAGATAGTCTTGCCGTATTTGACGAATTCCGATGATTCATCGACCAAAGAGTCCATTTTAAGTCCATAAAAACAGGTGCCCATAATGTCAGTGGAATATTTTAAACAAGTAGACTTGAAGTCAATTTCGTCAGTTTCTTTTAAAGTCTCGCGTAAATTAAGTATTAATAGATCGCTACAATTTCTTATCTGATCGTACATTGACTTAAGTTTGCCAGACGTGAATGTCGGGCTCAATTTGTTTCTCATGGTTTTCCAATCTTTGGAACGACTAAAAAACAAGTTAAGAGACAACGGATTTATCGAAAAATCTGTTTCTATACCACGGTCGGGAAAGTTCATAAAATCTTTTACTAGAATCGTCTTAATGAGTTCCGGGTCACGAATCATCAGGTACGGCGTTCTCATCTGAAAAAAACCTCCGTATTTGTGACCTGCGAGCTGATGGTAAATCCTCCTGTACAAATCCACATGATGTTCCATACCGAATGCCACACGGAAGTAGTTGCCGAACACAGGGATCGGACGTACGTATGGTACGTTGAGAGTTTTCCAGAAACCATGTGTTGAACTGCAATAGTTGTAAAACGCGAATAATATTGCCGAATTAATTGACACGAATACGGCCAGGTATGACCAGTAGCTGCTTAGAGCGAACATGGCGAATATATTAAACATGTTCACTGACTATAGTAGAAACAAATATAAAATTATGATATTAGTGAATTTTGTAAAATATACCGTTCGTAGTCGTCTGCTGAAACCGAACAGATTAATGCTATACCATTTAAAGCGTACACTTCCAACACTATTACAATTTCCACAAATTGTGTTAATAATATATATATATATATTTTTTCCGACAATATGCGTGTGTACCCGAACTTAAACCGTGATCTAAAAACCGGTTTTGTTCCCACCTCCTTCGATCATTATTTAAAATTGAATATGATATTTATTTATCTAACATTAAATTATTTGTAATCAATATATACACATTTTCGAACGAGCGCGTGCCTTCCCTACAGCACGCCTGACCCCACTACAACGTGATGCAAATTGCCGCCCAACGAGAACCAAAGTCATATGAGCCGATTTCATATTTTTTAATTTTATGTTTCCTACAAGAATTATTGATCCAATCGAAAAATTGAAACACAATTGTGTTCCTTTTAACATATAGTCACTGCCAGATCAATTTTAAAATCTTTGGCGTTTTTCATGATAGTTGGAAAAACCAAAATAGATGAAAAATATTACTTTTTTTTATATTATTGCATAACGATTTCTTTATTTCAAATTTTTACGACTTATATTTCTATCATAAACATTGCTTAAATAGGAAAACGACAAGAGACCTTGTTTATTGCATTTTGAATCTAGTTCGTAATTAAGTAAATTTTTTTTTGATTTTCTTTGTAGTTATATTATATGTAAGTATTTGTGAGCACAATTCCATAATTTTTAAGTCATCCCTTAATTCTTGAGTTATCTTTCAAAAAAAAATTATCCGTGGTTGGTTCGCTAAGCTTTTTTAATTTCCACTTCGCCAAAATGATTTACCTTGAACATATCATGTTCATGATAAAACAAAATATATGTCCCCCACAGTTATAATTGCATATATTAAATAAGTGTAATATTCTCTAAATAGGGCATTCTTTAAAAAATGTGTGCCTTTAAAATCTTACGACCCCGAGCAGATGCTGCTCCTGCTCCCCCCCCCTTATAATTCGGCTTTGTTTATAATAATTACAATACATTAATACAACATACACGTTTTACACTAATAATATACTTCGATTTTTTGCACTATATATTGCCATTATTTTGCACGATCCATTACTATTAAAAGTATTATCTGTTAATTCTTATCGACCGGCGAATTACGATCGCCAATCAGCGTAAAAAGTAAAGGTCATTAACAACCGAATGGCCGTATATAAATTTGTTATTGCTGAAAGTCATCGTCGATAACAATTTATTTTTAGTGCAGGCCTACCATAATTTATCATTTTTTTATTAATGAGCCTTTAAGGTATATGTTTTTTTTCATGCGTTTGGACCAATAAGTCTAGGCAAAATGCACATACTTAAAGTGATTCAGTTTTAAATCTGAAAAGTTTCGATTCCGTGGTTAAAGTAATTTCAGGGGGTGGAGAGTCCACATCCTGTGGACCCTCCACTCAGATACGGCCTTGGTATAATGATAATGTACACACGTTTCTTAAAAAGAAGCTTGAATCTGCGGAGTTTGTTTTACTTTAATGTGTTTGTTTGTTAAGTCCGAAATTGTTCAATCAATTATAGATTTACAATAAACATTTGAGCTGTTAAAAAATGCTCATGCAAACATTTTAAAACTTAAAGACAAATTCGATATTTTTGTAGAAAATTCTAAGACTGTATGCAAATTGTGGCACAAACCATTTATATTTTTTAATAAATGTCAACAATTTTCAACAAAGTTCTATGATGAGTTCAATAGTGATAGAAGACTGACCGTAACAAATGATAATTTTAAAGTAGCCAACGAAAATCGCAAAAAAAATTACGAAACTTCAAACTTTGTATTACTGAACTGCGCTCGGAATCGTCTTTCGTCAAGTAATAGTTTATCATTGCTTACAGATATAAATGAAATAACCTTATGTTTCCTATCTTCCCAACTTCTCACCTACAGCAGTGGTCACTCCCATCCCCAGTATCAGTTCTTTTTTTTTTTTTTTTCTTAACGTATTGTTATTCCTTATAGACGGTGCACTAGAAAATACCTATAAAATGTGAATAATTCCATCAAATTATACTATAATAACAACGTTGCATCAATATTTTGATCAACTACAGAATAACAGAAACGATATACGATCGGAATGTTAAGTTCCCGGGTCCTTTTTATATTATGTTATTTATTTTATAATAACCCCGTGCCCTCAATTCGCTATACATAATATTTAAATACCTAATATTCTTTGCCAACAATACGCCAACTCCAAATTACAATTTCATTACGTCCCCCTCTCGGTTTAAAGGAAACTGCGATTTTGTGTAAATATGATACGTTCCAACAGAATACAATATTATGACGAACGAGATATTATAATATGGGAACCTAACAACATTGTAGTATTATGTACGAAATTATTAAAATTACTGTATACGATACGATATTTACCTCGTTTAAACGCACCTACATATTATTAATTATACCTACTTTACTTGAGCGCAGCGCCGTTAATAGGAGAATGCAGGGAATTCGGTTGCAACCCTAAATCTAATGGGCCTTTCAGCCTTTCCATAATACGGTTTTTATGTCATTAGACAAAATTTTTACGTTGTTAAAAAAAAAAAATAATAATAATCCTAAATAATATTTTGTTTTTTATTATTATACGAGTACCATTGTTTCGAATAAATGATAACAGTGACACCTGCCTTAACGAACACCTGTCTATAACATACATACTTTCTGGTACCGACACGTTTTACTGTACATAAATAACGAAAACTAATAGTATCAGATTTAAAAGCTCGTCAAACAAAAATGTTAACTGTTATTATAATAGATGTATAAATCTTCACATATAAAGGGCGGACATACTTCGTACGTGGGTGCAGCCACTGTTGTTGATGAAAAGTAAGGAAGGTAGGATACAGACGGGAATTTGATGTATATCTGTAAGTAACGATAAACTATTGCTAACGAAATAACTATTCTGAGCGGTGTTCAGCTAATAGTGTTGCTTTGTCAATAATATATGCTATATTATAGTAAGATGATTACAACAATACGCGTTTCCATGATAACAGTGATTTAAAAAAAAAAAAAATAATAATAAAACTTAATAATAACAAGCAATAAATAAAAACGGTTCCTAATGACAACCTTTTATTTAATATTTCAATCTTTTTTAACCTAAAGAATCAGGTTTCTTTCATTATCTCAAATGTTAATGAGAATTTCAAAAAATGTTCTCTCTAAAGAACTACACAAAAAACATTTCCTTTCAGAAAAAAGGCTATTCTTGATAATCAGAATAACTTTGGTAGAAAAAATGTTTACACAAAAAAAAAAAATAAACATTATTGTAAAACATTCTTCGCTCCACTCAGAATCTGAAATTCTGTGTTAACAGCTATATAAAGCTGCGAATGAATTTTATATCTATGTAAATATATTTATTTGATACAATAAAAAAAAATAGACTTATAAAATACACTATGCTATAAAATTAGAAATATGTCCTTACATACTCCTAGTTTTATCATTTCACATTTTAACCTAATATGAAAAAGGTCGTTTAAATTGTATATGTGTTTCGACGAAATTTCTCTACTGACGCCACTGCACAAATTGCGAAAATGAATAATAATAATATTAAACCGTTATTACGTCGAGAATTAACGGTAAACTCGTTTATGGAAAAAAAAAAAAAATCGTTTTAGTTTAAAATTAAATCCGAGCACAGAATGACTTCGCGGTACATGTCACTCTTATACGCGTGACCATCGCTCGCAAAACATCGAGACCGTATAAATCGAAAGGCTCCGTACAACAACGAGGCGAGTCCGAATAATTACTTTTTTATCGTTTCGATTAAAGCAATAAACGTTGCGTAATATTTGGTGTGACAACGGGACAAGTCCGCCAACACAAGATACGGGGAAAAATGGCGATAAGGAATTGCCCGGTACTGCGGTTCAATCGAATCCCGGGCAAAAACAAGGCGGATCTCATAGACGGACGGTCTGTTAACTTTCTCCCGAGCAATAATACCCGAAAATTGGACTACGCTGAGCCCTTTGTGTACTATAATGTCACTGCGGGTCACTAGGGAAAGTCTGTTGACGACCCGTCGTATTATTGTTGTACCGGAGACTTTATATTTAATTTAGATTGACACTGATCCAGAGTTAAACGCGGTACGATTACCCCCGGCCGTAAACTGACGAAAGTTCTTTCGTATAATATGAGTCTCCCTTATTTTGGCGGTTCTCAAAATTGCGGTGCGCGCGGGAAATTAATCAACACATATTCGGCGTACAGACGTTTTCAACGGTCCTACAAATACCGTTCGCGGTAAAGTTCGTTTTAAAATTTAAAAAAAAACCGAAATTTTTTATCAACAATTACCGTGTCATTCGTGTTTCAACGTCGCGACAGTATTTCGGTCCGTCTTGTACGCTTGCGGTTTCGGCGAACAAAAAAAAAAAAAACCGCAATAGACGTTTCGGACAATAGTCCGGATTCCCCGCGGTCGTACGCGCGGCACTCGACGGATCCGTAGAGCGCTACGTGCGACAGCGGCAGGGGAGGGCGAGAAAAAAAAATAACACCGTCCGAGAACCGCCGGCGCGCGTTATACGGTTTGTGTACGGACGACCCCATCCCCCCACCCCCAATCGATTGTGCCGCAAACGCCGCGAAATGGAACTCGCGCCGTACCGCACGTGTGTGCACATCGTTATTCCGCCGGTTTCAACATCGCAATCGAAAATTCGCGTGAAAGTCGACAGCCGAAAGTTTCGACGCGACCGCGTCGGTTCTATACCGCGCGCATAACACCGGCGTGTACCGTCCGCTGTTATGATACGCCCGCGCGCGGATGTGTAACGCACGCACAACACCGAGAGCCTGGCGGTTTACCGCGTGTCGCCTATCGCCTCTCAGGGACGACAACAATAACAACGATGACAATACACGAACGTGCGTAACACGCGTGTTTAAACCGTTCGAAACTTGACGCCGGTGCGCGCGCGTTCACGGGTAAACACGCCGGCAAAACGATATTCCGCGATAATATCGCACCGGCTCGTATCACGTTTCCCGTAAGATTTATTCGGTTTCTTTATTAATTTTTTTTTCAAAAATTTTCCCCCGAAAACAAGACGCCCGTTGTGACAATAGGTCGCGCGTTAATGAGGCG